ATGTTAGACTAAGTTAAATAACCTTATTGTTGAGGGTATTAAAGTGTAACTGCTTAGGGTATTAAAGTGTAATTATCTGTCCTATATATAGGGCACGTATTCTGTCTTTTAAATATACAATAAAATCAATAAATTCAAGGTTTGATTAAACAGCCCCTTACTTGGCTTTGTCACAACTAACCATAGTTCTGCAAAAATGGCAACAAACATGTTTACAAAATAAGCAATTTTTGAGAAATCGTGGACATGTAATGCAAAAGAAACCATCATTTTTAGCACTTTCTGAAAAAAAAATCCTTTATTCTTGCAAAGTGTCAGTGATTTTATTTTCATTTTCATAAGAATGTTAGTTTGTAGCTAAAAGCCATATGCAATGATTCGAAAAGTATCATTCTTTAGATATAATGTGTTTTGAGCCAAAAGCTGTAATTTTCATGGGACGGAGTGAGTATTTCTTTCCAGCGTGTCATATACTAATACCGAAGCACAGGAACTCTTGCTGTTAGGAAGTATTTCAAGCCGATGGGATCGTGTTATTCAAAAGTTCATGTCGAATTCACATGGATCTATTAGCATCTTCACGTTATATGAAGGAGTGCACAACTTAATCTTGGAAAGATTTCAAAAGGTCGAATTTATGGAGGAAACGAAGAACTCAAAGGTAGTCTTTCTGCTACAAAATTCGAGTTATTTTTTGTAAGATCCCACATCGGTTGGGGAGGGGAACTAAGGTTGCCTTATAAAGGACTGGATATCATCCTTTACCATACGCATTTTAAAATCGTGAGTTCAGGTGTGGACAAAGCGGACAATATTTGGTACAGTTGGCCTGGATGTTACTATTTTGCTTGATTTATGTATCATTACATTTTTGGGCACACGAGCTTCTTTTATATAAAATGATCAAATGATCAAACATGTTGTGCCAGGAACAAGATATCGTTGAGTATCTTGAAGTTAAATTAAGCAATCAAATTCATCGGTTGTGGGAACTCTCACCTGCACTTACAGCAGCGGCACTTCCTCCATGGTATGCCTTTTCTTTGATGTTACATGTCGTCGTACTCTCAATGGGGGAGGATCAAATGAGAATCGTAAATATTTTTGAGAATCTGGAACCAACTATTTCATGAATTATTCTAGATGAAACAACCCTAAAATATTCATGAATACTATTCGTCATGAATATGATTCATTTTTTTCATTATTCTGATATTCATCATGAATATTTACATTGATAATGAATGATTGGTTCTCGGGTTCTCAAAATATTTACGGTTCTCATTGAACTTGTCGTTACCTTCAATTATAACCAATTGTACAATTTGTACAACTCTTGACATGTTTTTTGCTGGTTTCAACCAATTTATGCACACACGTACTTGTTTTTTTCCCGTGTGTTAAAACCAAGGGATGGGTCGATCAAGGTTTTAAAAGGCGGAATCGGGCCTCGAGGCATTTTCTCTCAACGAGGAGAGGCGTAAAACTTCGAGGCGGTTCGAGATGTAAGCGCCGAGGCAGGAATATATACACCAAATATGTGTATATACTACACAAATATATAGAATATAAAATACTAATTTACTAAAGGGAGCTGGTTCGGTGGTTCTTGACAGAGGAAAGAGTGAAACCGTGAGATAGGGTGAGGGGTTGTGGAAAATTTGGTAGCTTGGGGGAAGAGGAAAGGTAAAACCACACTTTTTGACTAAGAGGAGAAAGTAATAGCTATTGGGTTCTAAATATTAGAAGTACATATTGGGGCCATTGAACTTTACTTTTAGTTTTTTAAAATAAAAAATATACACTTATACTATTACTATAAAGAGAAGTACTATTACTGTCATAAAGCTTATAAAAAAGCCAAAAAGACCATTACCAAAGAAAATTCGAGGTGTACGTTTTGACACCGCTTCACACCTCACCAAACCGCCTCACTGAACCAAGGCGTAAGCCTCATCCAGGGTCCAAGAGGCGCTGCCTCAGGTGTGGTTTTGGGCCACCTTGCCTCAAACGATTTTTAAAACCATGGGGTCGATATCTACTTGCAGGTCACGTTTATTCGAAGTATATTCAAGTGAATTGTTGAGTCGGTTCAAAGGAAAAACTACGAAGATCAGGTATTAATGTCTCCTTCGGCTTCAATCTTGTTCTTATTTAATTCATGTTCTCTATTTCTTTGTTCTGTTTTTTGATTCGTAACAAACGTTTCCATTTATATAGATGCTGCAGTTGTATTGATGATAACAAGGAACACACAGAATGTGAGTTCTTCATCTGAATGCCTTAGTTTTATTAGTAATTCAGATGTTAGTGTCATTTGTGTGGATGTTAATTAGGGCCTGCTTACGAGCTTAACGGGACTTACAGCTTATTCGGTCGGTTATACATGATTGTTTGGTAGTGGCTTGATGATATATAAAGTGGCTTATTCAGTAAGCTTCTAAGGGGGAAGTTATATGCAGAAAGCCAAGTTTTTTCCAAACCCACCCTCCCAATTGAAAAACATGCTCTTTTTATCTATTAACAACCCCTCCCAAACAAAAATCGTTCCAATCTATATAAATAAATTAATCTGCACATATAACTTTATCCATACAGGACTTAATGGAAAACCAATCAAGCAGCCCCAAGAGATGTCCTCAAGTCCTCTGAAATTTGGAATGTTTGACTATTTGACCCCATATCTTGTTGAGGCTAATCTACATAGATTCTGTAATGCTAAATATGGGACCGGGTGAGTATGGCAATGACTTAAAAATATTACCCGGTAAGAGCAAGGCAAGGATCGAGAGTTTTACATAGTAATTGAGGCTGATGACTTCTACCTATTAAGCTCTTACCAGATGATAGACACTTACCCACAATAGTCCATTTTGATGGCCGAGAATGTTACCCCACAAGATAAATGAGGTTGGTGACTCTTTCAGGTAAGCATCTAGTAAACGGACCATCCGTCTTTTGAGACAAAGGTAAGGCTTACGTACATCTTACCTCCTAGACCATACCTTCAGATAGGATATACTGGATTTGTTTGGTTTGGTTCGGTTCGGTTTGGTTTCTAGAGATTGATGGTTGCATCTTTTTGCAGGTGAAGTTGCTGAGAGGATTTGGTGCCTCTACATCTTTCATGTATTAAAAATCCAATCTTGATGTACCTTTGGATTTCAAGAAACAGTTTCTATTTTTATTTTGGGTCTTTCACTTTGATGGTATAATTAATGACATAGGTGTGATGTGGGTCCCAAAGATCTCAATCTTTACGGTAGAAATCAGGTCTGCATACATCATATCCTCAACCCTACTTTCAAGTGGGATACACCAGGCTCGTTTGATTTATCTTGATCTTTAGGAGTTTAGAGTAAAGATGTTTGTGTTCAGATTGATTGGTTTCTTCGATGAATTCGACACAGGCATGGTGCAACGTTGAGAATCGAAATCAAAGCACTTGATCGGTCCCAAAATAATTTTTTGTAGATAGGGTAAATTATATTATGTATACTATGTATTAATTTTTATAAGGTGAACAAATATTCTGTTGGTATCTTAACGTTTATTTATTTTTAAATGTTTAATGTCATTCAATTTTCGTAAAAGTTTCAATTAGACTAGTCAATATTAAAATGTTCATAGAGCCCACTTGACCTTGTGATTGGTGCTGCTTACATCAAATTTTATCTGAATAGTTAAGTGGCTTATCAAGCAACTTTATCTTATTAGATGAACATTATAAGAATCGTGAGTCTTATTCGGTAAGAATCGTGAGTCTTATCCAGTGAGGATGGTGATAACTCTTACCTGGTTAGCACTTACTGAATGAATCGTTGCATACAATGTTGTTTTAATGTACCAGAACTTTATCTGGTAAAGTAAATGCATATGTCGACTCACACCGGTAAGCTCTTACTGGATAAACGTTTGGCTAAATGACCCCTAAATATTCTTTGTGTACAATATCTAACGGTTAAAATATATGAAAAAAACTTTGTGATGGAGTTTTGTATAATTTGTTCGATATAAATTTTCTTGTGGGGCGTTTGATCTGATAAAATGTTTAAGTTCCGTGTAAATATTTGGAATTTAAATGATTTAAATATTTTGGTATTTTTGGTTTGTAAAAATTAAAACGAAATTGAATTTCATTAATTATAGTTTATCTATAAAATTAAGTTATAAATAATTATATTATTTTTTATTAATGCATTATTATAAAAAAGGATTATAATATTATATTTTACAAACAAATACTTTTAGCATATTTTAAGACATTATTATAAACAAATTATATAGAATCTCATGAAATACCAATTACCTCTATTAATTTTTATACATATTTTAAAATATTAGGTTGTTTTTGGTATCTAAACAGGACAAAACATGGTATGACAATTGTTCAACGTTTAGTAAGGATTGACATAACTGGACTGGTGAAATTATAAATTTACTCCTGATGAGTTGTTTATATTTTTTTCCTATATTTTGATTACTTATGTAATTTATTAATTATAATAAAATAAATATGTTTTATAAAAAAATAAATCATTAGAAAGTTTTCATCAAAACGATTAAACTGACGCAAACATAGGAAGTTTATTTAATTTACAAATTTCATTTTATACCTCTTCTATATTATGTTTTTGTTTTATTAATATTTTTTGACAAATTATATAAATTAATCAAAATATAGAAAATTTATAATAATAATAATATTCTGAGGATAAGAAAGTAAAAGTTTAAAGAGAACAAAATACAGTAAATAAAATTTAAAAAATAGATAAAATGCAAAGAGAGAGAGAGAGAGACGTATTTGATGTTTTAAAATATAATTAAGTTTTTATCTAAGAGCATGTTGGTAAAATATAGACTTGTTTCATCTTTCAATGAGGTGAAGATGGAACACGTCTATTCCATTTCGTTTCACCATGTTTGTTCCAAATAAAATTCATGCCAAACCAGAGGTGAACTTGGAATATTTTCCATATAAAAATATCTTTTTTTTCTTCTTCATATTTTCAATATAGATCTGTTGGTTGGTTTCTTATCCTTACATTGAAAATACCTATGTTTGAGTCAGGTATACATATATTAAAAAAAACACAAGAGGTATATAAAAAACACCAAAATTTAAATTCAAAACAAGAATTCATGACAACTATAGACTCAATCTAGGTTTTTGTACAAATGCATAAGAAAATTTGTCATCTTAGCTATTAAAGTCTTGTGTTAACATTTCAGTTTGGCCTAACGATATATGAGTCATAGATGTCAAGGGTTCAAAATTTACCAGAGGTGTGAGGGGTGTGCGAGTTTATTTGTTTTATTTGTTGTATATAAATAATATATGCTTAAAAAAATATTCCCCATTTTTAAGAAAACAACATTGATTAAAATATTAAAATATTTCATTTATCTATTAAAATATTATTTATCTATCTAAATAATTATCTTTTAATTTTTCTATCGATAGAAATCACATGATAATCATTTCTTGGGTAATCTCCATATCTAGAGAAAAAACCATTCTTTTTCTTACTTTCTCCATTTGGAGATACTTGTAGGGAATCTATTGGAGCTTAATTTTAGTTCAGAATCTCCATTTTCTCATTCTCTCTATTTTAGAGGATTAGATAGAGATGCTCTAACGAAACTATGAAGCAGTGAACAACGTCAACGTATTTGTCTATGTGGGTTCATCTCTGTACCGACAAATAGGGGTGCTCAAAAACCCGACCAACCCAATCCAACCCAACACGAAATAACTCAACCCGATGTCTAATCAAGTTGTAAAATTGTCAAATCGTATGTATTGGGTTACTATTATTTGAACCCAACCCAACTCGATAAATCCGATATCCTTTTATTTCTTGGATTTAAGATGGTTGTTGAATTTCTATTAATATATACATTACACAATTACACTATCATGTATGTTTTTCATATACACATATTTTCAATCTATTCACATATTCATATAACTCATTCGTATATATGTTCAGTAACTGTAAACGTTAAATTGAGAAAATTAACTGAATGTGATATATGTAAGAAATATGGATAAGTTGTATCAAATGGTTGATGATGAAAAAGAAATTATGAGTAGAGAAATAACATATTCTAGGTTAGAAGAATATTTTAATGTACCAATCCGACCAACCTGTACAGGTTAGGTTGGGTTAGAATTTTTCAAACCGCAAGCATTGAGTTGAGTTGTTTAAATGTCTCCAACTCGATCAATACAACCCATAAACACCCCTAACAACAAACATGTAGCAGTAACGTATATTACTATTCTATCATGTTATATCCGGTGTACCAATTAGATACTCGTTAGGTGACAAATATAAAAACCTACGAATTCCGCATTATTCTTGTCCCTTCTTCCTTTTACTTTTCTTTGTTATGTTATTTAAGGAGGCATATATTCCTTCCGAAAACGACGACGTGTATGGTGGGTGCGACTTTCTTTTCTTGCATTTGCACCCTAACTCCCAACAAATACTGCTTTTTCCGTGAAGTGGCACTCGGAATCCGTGGCACATCATCACACAAACCCTAACCCTAAATTCGCAACGACAAAAAAAAAATACTCCTTTTTCTCAGTGTAAAACTGAATCTCAACTCAGGGTTTCGCCTTGTTTTTGTGCGAGAAACGAAGTGGTATCAATGGATTCAGACGAAGGAAAGCTATTCATTGGAGGAATAGCATGGGATACCACCGAGGAAACCCTCAGTGATTACTTTAGTAAGTATGGAGATGTCTCTCAGACCGTTATCATGCGCGACAAGACCACCGGCCGTCCACGTGGATTCGGATTTGTCGTTTTCTCAGATCCTTCGGTTCTCGATTCTGTTCTTCAAGATAGGCACACTATTGAGGGACGAACTGTAAGGAATTGTTGATTTTTGTAGTCTTCATTCGATTTTGTATGCGATTGTTGTGTGGGTTTTACGTTTCTAGGGTTTTAGTTTAGATGATTGTAAATGCTTACACCAGTATGATTTTTGCGGTTCTGTGCGTTTTCCAGTTGAAATTTTGTTCTGTTCAATTTAGGTTCAGTTTCTCATGTTTAACTTTCGGTGCATAAAATTTGTTGGGTTTCATGTTTGAGTTTAAATTCTAAACTTGGGATTGCTTATTTAAAACAGCTTATGCTTGGGATTGCTTATTTTAAATAAGCAATCTCAAACACCCCCTTGATACAGTTGGAATTGGGGAAAAACAAGCTTTCAAATTCACTTCCAAATTGATGTGAATTTTAAGCATATGGATTACATCTTATTGCTAATTTCATGAACCTCATAGTTTATACAGAGTTGTATTACTTTCGCAACGAAGTTAATTGCGGTTTTCTAATATTAGAATTGCTATGAAATCAAAGCCCTATACTTGGGGGTTATTGGTATTTGAATACCATTGATGATAGGATTTGAGAACTTCATTACTAACGTCTATTCCATGGCCAGATTGTGTAAGTTGGTTTAGGGGAGGTACTGACTCCATAGCCTTTTGAATCCATTCGTTTATGTGTTTACTGCAGGGTTTAGTTCTTTTCGTCCATTAATTTATTGGGTCTTGGTACACTGTTCGGTTGGTAGATTCCAGGAGTTCCTTTAACTATTTGTTTTTTCCTGTTTCCATCAAAGGCTATGTATTGTTATATGTAGGGATTTTATATTTACTACATAATTCTTGCTTTTTAGCATATCAATTAGGTAGAATGATCACATTGGATCCGTCATTTGTCATGTTTTGATGTATGATGAATGTTCAAATGGTTGACCATAGTGTCTTATATGGTTTGCATTTGGGTTGCCATTCTGCTAACTTTTATGCTTGATTTCTCTTCTCCTAGTTATCCACCAATGAGCTTTCTTTGGGAATGTTTGTTAGCAGCTTATTGAGCTTAATGGGATTCACAACTTGTTCAGTCAGCTATACATGACTGTTTGATAGTGGTTTAATGATATAGAAAGTGACTTGTTCGGTAAGCTGCTAGGGAGGAGCTTTAGAAGCCAAGTTTTTTCCAAACCTGCTTCTCCCAATTTAAACATATGCTCCTTTCATCTATGAATAAACCCTCCCAAACAAAAACATTTCCAACTACACAAACAGCTTTATCTATATAGGACTTAATGGAACTATTTGGAGTGAATCTGTGAATGTGTGTTGTCATTGTTACAACATGCCTATGTAAACTAATATCATGTTGGTTGGTCTGTTGTTTACTTGTTTGTTATTTTATCTTTGAAACTAAATGGAGTGAATCTTGTCTTGGTTAACTTGGCTTTCTAAGACTAATGTAATGTCGGTTGGTGTGTTTTATATTGCTCGTATTTTTAACGACATGTTCAAAAAAACAGTTTCTTGACTGCAGTCTGGGCTCGTTGTTCACTTATTGTGTGCAGGTGGAAGCTAAACGAGCTTTATCTAGGGAAGAACAACAAACGTCTAGACCCGGAGGTAATGTTGGGAGGAGCTCTGGAGGGACGGGAAATTACAGAACCAAAAAGATATTCGTTGGTGGATTGCCATCCACCTTGACGGAGGAACAATTCCGTCAGTATTTTGAAAGTTACGGTGATGTAACTGATGTAGTAATAATGTTTGACCAAAATACCAACAGGCCTCGAGGATTTGGTTTCATCTCATTTGACACAGAAGATGCTGTTGATAGAGTTCTCCAAAAGACCTTTCACGAGCTGAACAATAAGCTTGTTGAGGTGAAACGGGCACTTCCTAAGGATGCAAATCTTGGTGGTGGTGGTGGTGGCAGCGGCGGCAGCCGTGGTGGAGGCTATCAAGGTTCCAATGCTGGCTCGTTTGATAGTCAAATGGACGGTAACAGATTCCTGCAACAGCAAACTGCTGGCGGTGGCTACCCAGCATATTCTGGCTATGGTCAACCCGCTTATGGCTTTGGAGGGCCAAATAGTAATGCTGGTTATGGCGGATATGGAAATTATGGTGTGGGTGGTTATGGGGGTCCTGCATATGGGAACCCAACTGGTGCAAACTCAGGTTATGTAGGTGGAAATCCGAGTGCTTTGAAAACCGCGTGGGGTGGTCAGAGTCCTGGTTATGGTGGCACCGGCTATGGCCCCAATGTGGGTTATGGAGGTAATGTTCCTTGGAATACTGCTGGTGGTGGTGCCGCAGTTTCTGCACCAATGAGTCAATCAGCCGGTGGAGGTTCTGGGTATGGGAGTCAAGGCTATGGTTATGGCAACTATGGCAGTAATGATGGCTACAATACTAACCCTGGTGGTTATGGAGGTGGTGGCGGAGGGCGGTTTGGGCCAGGAGGTGCCCCAAATAACATGGCTGGCGGAGGAGATCAGCAAGCAGCAGGCGGTGGTGGTGGCAATATGGGGAGTGGCTATAATGGACAAACCGGGTACTCTAATGCGGGTTGGAGATCTGAGTCATGAAAAGGTTCAGGTTTTGTTGGACCCGGGATAATCTATGAGAGTGATTGGATGGGGGCGACATCCATGGCAGAGCTCGGAATGACGGATGATGCATGATGGGACGAAAGCCGAAAATGGTTGGATTGCTTGAATCTTTGTAGTATGTTTTTAGTATCTATTTTGGTACCATTATTAGTAGTTGTATTATGCCATTTTTAAGTAAGTTTGCTGCTATAATTGTATGTGTTTTTTTTCATCAATGCTTCTATTCTATCCTTTTTTTCACTATTAAGCTGGAGTTGCTGGAGGTATTTGTACTTGTACTTGTTTACTGTTTTTGCCCTTTTAGTGTGTTTATTAGGAGCTTAATGGGACTTGTAGCTTTTCTGGTCAACTATATATGATTGTTTGGTAGTGACTTAATGATATGGAAAGTAGTTTATTCAGTAAGCTTTTAGGAGACAGTTTTATGCAGAAAGTCAAGTTTTTCTTTTTCCAAACTTACACCTATCAATAAAAAAACACATTTCTTTCATCCATGAAAATACAATCCTAAACAAAAACCTCTCCGATCTATATTTATTAATAGATTAATTCACACTGACAGCTTTATCTATACAACACTTGATAAAAAAAAAACCCAACTAAACAACTCAGTTCCCTAATATTCGGGTAAACAACTCAGTTCCCTAATATTCAGGTAAACAACTCAGTTACCCAATTTTCGAGTGAGATATACAGTGTATTTCTATTGTCATGTGTCGGTCTTTGATTGGTTGATGAATTTTTTTTTTAAATTTTAAGCTATATGCTTAGATATGATGTTTGTGTTATTTTTTGAACACTAAAATAAACGATGAGTTCGATATACTTTCCTGTTTTGTATTATTCCGGGTTTCTAATTTTATTTGTTTTGATAATATTTTTGTATTTGTGTTTTTCGTGTTCCAACCTCGTACGAAGGAATCAATATTCAACAATGACACCTGCAGAAGACGACAATTTGATGATAGTTATTGAAAATGAAAGTAATCAAATACGTGATCTTACTATATTTGGAAAGAAACGATAAGAGTTTATTTAGCCGGCACAAAAGTTCCTCAACTTCGAAGTTCGGGACTTGGGTGTTGCTAAAAAATGTTAAAATATTTATAAAAACTAAATCATACCAAACCGACTCAGTAAATTTCTATCCATTTTAAAGTAGGATATAAAATGGTTAAAACGTATTTACTTACACAAACCTGACATCTGCTAATTAAATAAATCGACCAGTAAAGACACTAGTTTATACAAAAATATACATAATCAATTAGAAAAAATAAATACTGACATGATATAAAACGCACACAAACATCAGAAAAGGTAACGACGATTAAAATTGCCATTACAGTTTTAACTTTATTAACATTCAAATATAGTCATGAATTGCGAGTCATTTCGATAAATGAGTTTTTAAGTAAATTCATGACCTCTTGGTTATATAAGGAAAAGAATGAGTTTATACTCATGAGAAGGTTATGGATTTTAACCAAAGGGTCTTTTTGGCCTAGCGGTATCAGGTATGTGAGTCTTTGTCCTCCTAGGAGGTCAGAAGCTCAAATCTCACCAAAGGTGAGGAGGATGCGTAAGTTTATTTGTTCTATTTGGCGTATATAAATACTATATACTTCAAAGAAAAAAAAAGGTTATGAATTTAATTAAAATCTCAAGTTACAATCTCTGTCCCTATGGTTTGTTAATAATTTCAATTTTTGTTCCTATGGTTTAGAAATTGTAATTTTCATTCCTTGACTAATTAGTACAAAGGACCAAAACGGTAAAGAATTATAAACAACAAGAATCGTAATAACAATAAATTGTAAATTATAATGATGAAAATGACAATGAATTACAAATCATTGAAAAAAAAGCAATTTTTAAACCACAAGGATGAAAATTGTAATTTTTAACAAACTACAGGGGGGTAAAACGTAATTGACTGTATAATCAATTGGACCACAATTCTAAAACTATGACACTAAAAATTGGGCCTTATGGAGTTGCATTTATTTGGCCCAATACAGAATATGCGTATATCTCCAACACCCTCTCCCTATCCATAAACCCTTCCACCACACTACTCCAAACCACCGTATCCATGGCGGCGACAACTGCGGTGGCAATCGGACGATCACTCCTGACCTTCCGATCGGCATCTCCATCTTCATACTTTATCATTTCCAAGCGTCTTTTTTCCTCTTCATCTTCCATAGCTAGAGCTCCTCCTCTACCCGGATTCCGGCGACCCGTCCGGTCGGCAGCATGTCTTTCACACTCTCTCCAAGTGGCCGCACCAGGCGCTGTGCGTCTGAACCCTATCCGGTGCCGTGTGAACCGCTCTGGAGGTGCGTACTCTCCGCTTAACTCCGGTTCGAACTTCAGTGATCGACCACCGACGGAGATGGCGCCGTTGTTTCCTGGATGTGATTACGAGCATTGGTTGATCGTTATGGATAAGCCTGGTGGTGAAGGCGCCACTAAGCAACAGATGATTGACTGTTACGTTGAAACCTTAGCTAAAGTTCTAGGAAGGTACGCCATGAAACCCTAACTTCTTGCTATTTTTTTTATATCTGAGATTAAATGCGTATTCTCTCTTTTTTGGGCGATTTCATTGTCTTAAATTGATTATTTCACTACTTTGAATTAAATTTTTGAATTTAGTTTGACATACACATCATTTTAACATAGAAGACAGGTAAGAGAAATCATGCTTTTATGGTACCTAAACTATTAGAGTTTGAGAAAATGGATTGGATACATGAATGACTTTGTCTAAAAACTTATGTATAATATGCAATGGTTATTAGCTTATGTGATTTTTGGTAATTGTTCTAGTGAGGAAGAAGCAAAGAAGAAGATTTATAATGTTTCTTGTGAGAGGTACTTTGGGTTTGGCTGCGAGATTGATGAAGAGACATCAAATAAGCTTGAAGGTTTGTGTTTCCATTTATTCCCATAAGTTTAATTGGGTTTTAAGGGGTTGGTAGTCACATCTTTCAACTATCTTTTACAGGACTCCCTGGTGTTCTCTTTGTGCTACCAGATTCATATGTGGATGCAGAAAACAAAGATTATGGAGGTATGCTTACTGTGGAGTTGTGTCTACCACACTTTTGTTCTAATTCTCTGTTTTTGGTTCGTATATTGTTTTTTGGGTGTGTTTTGGCATATTATTATGTTTATGTTAATAATAATATGGAATGATGTCATAGAGGTGGGTTATTATGCAACGCTTTACATTCCTACAACCCTTACAACCAAATCAGGAGTGTCCATTTGATCATCAGAGGTTACCATTTGATCTGTTGTAACTACCCTTAAATTTAAAAAACCAAAAAATAAAATAAAATGGATGGTGGTTAAGTGGGTGTTGTATAATCTAGAGGGGTTGTATTTGAACGATGTCTTATATGTTTGAAGGCCCATATTTACAAAACAGATTAGCATTGAAAGGAGAAAGTTCAGTCTTAAATGCCATATCCCACACGGAGGTAGGGTAACTTATGAAGACCCCGGCTTCTTAAAATTGAAGCGATGTGAAAGAGAGAAAAACAGATATAAGTTTTGAAGAGCTAGGTATGAGAAGCAGCAGAATACCAATAGAAGTAGGTAACTTATGAGAAGTGAGAATCAATCTCAAGAATATCTTTTGGGGGGGTGGGGTGGGGTGGGGTGGCTAATCTTATGATTAACCACAAAAAGGTTACAAAGATGTGAGAATCAATCTCAATGTATTGTTTCTCAAGATCTTTTTTCATCTAAGTCTATTATTTATAGTATTCTTTGAAAGTTATGGACTGCATTTCAACTTAAGTAGGATGTTGATCCTAAAGCCGATAGTTAAATTGTGTTCTCCTTTAAGTATTCTTAGCATTCTGTCTCAATTTGTTCTAATAGGCTTCTAAACACATTCTAGGTTTGTTTTAGTGCATATATAGGGGCGTAATCAAATGAGAACCTCATATATTGTGATGACTGTGAGAACTTTTACCTTAAATGTAAAGGCCAGTATGTTTCACAATGTGAAACTTCCTTATGTGTACTTTTTGTTCCACACCAAAAAGTTTCACATTGTGAAACAAATATATGTTTACTCGATACCCAAGTTCTTAGCCTTGGATGAAAAAAATCATATGAAATTGCACATATGCACCGATTCTCAGGGTTCTCATTTTGTAGGTTCTCACCTGATTATCCCCTATATATGTATTATGTTATTTGGCTGATGCAATGTCGTCAACTTTGCATATTGGTGCTTGAAGTTAAATGGTTTTATTGATGGCAATTTATATATCCCTGTTTTCAGCTGAGCTGTATGTGAACGGAGAGATCGTTCAGAGATCACCTGAAAGGCAAAGGAGGGTGGAACCAGTTCCACAAAGAGTGCAAGACAGACCCAGATACAATGACCGAACCCGTTATGTTAGGCGTCGTGAAAATAGCCGGTAATCATGATTAATATCCAAAGTATGTAATAAGCAACTTAAAATCTCTATATCGCCGGTAATGGATTGATTGGCTATCGTTGAAGTAGTTGGTATCTTGGGTGTAATCGTTGTCTCTCAAGTGAATGAAAGAATGTTGCTTTTTCAAAGCCTCTTTCGGGTAATCAATAGTTTTTCATTCCTTCTGGAAGGAAAAATTACATGTAGTCACGTGTAAAATAGTACCAACGAACGAGGCTCACGTGTTTTGCAGTATGTTTGTGCTGAATTTGTTTGAATGCTAATTTGAAGTGCTGAAACTAATTGTCTGAGACTAATACTTGCAATTTTTGTTTGAATGATTAGATCCTAAATCTGCAGGATTTGTGTAAATTTGAGAGATAAAGCTTTGTTCAAACTTGTATACTAATGGGCGATTTACCATTCGTTTATTGGGTAGGCGTTTATTTGCAATAGTCATCAACTCTGGCTTTCCTTGTCAAGTAACTTTTTTTACTGTCAAAATGGATTGTCTGTAATCGTTTTTTATTTAACATTTTTTATTGTCAAAATGGATTGTCTGTAAGCGTTTTTTATTTAACAATTTTTTACTGTCAAAATAGATTGTCTGTAAGCGTTTTTTATTTAGTAAGCGGTAGCTGATTAAGAGTTATCTATTTAATTTACCGAGTAAGAACCTTTGTTGTTGTCAATTAAAATCTTTTATTGAGCAAGACTTTTTGTTGTTACTACCCTCACCCTAAGTGACCTGGTAAACAATGAGGGGTTGTTTGATTGGTTTGTTATTAAGCCTTGTATAGAGATAACTGTCTTTATGGATTATCTATATATATAGACTAAGAAAATTTTGTTTGGAAGAGTTTTTTCATAAACAAAAGAATCATGTTTTTCAGTTGGAAGAGATTAGTTTGGAAAAAAAAAATTGGGTTTTACGTGAATTCTACTGAATAAACCATTTCCTATATCATTAAGCTATTATCAGATAGTCAATATATGGTTAATCGAATAAGCTGTGAGTTCTATTAAGCTTCTATAACAAGAAATGACCCTAATTGAACTTTTATGTGCCTTTGGAACTGGAATGAAAATGAACTATTTTTATAAGTAAATATTATCAAATAAAATTACGACTTTGTTTATGCTCAAAACCCTTTATTTTGTTATTTTTAATAAATGCCGGCAATGGTTTTTCTTGGTTCCATTGTATTGTTTTAACTTAAACCGTGCTTCAAGTCCCCTACAATACTTGCTCTCTAACAACTTCGCTAACCCTCCTTATCTTTCTGAGCTGCAACAGCTCGTCTGAAGTCGTTAAACGAACCTGTTCAATCTCACTTGTCGCTGGCTCCACGACCCCATCGCTAACACCAACATTTTCTGTCGAACTTTCTGCATTCATCGATAACGATGGTTTCTGCAGTTTACCTCTCTTGATTTCCTTCAATCTACTTTCCACAAAATCTGCTTCCTTCTCATCTTCCCATGAGTCTGTGTAGATACTACCATCATTATTGAAGTCATCTTCTCCAAGATCCAAAGAATTGATCTTTGGTGATGCATTTTTTTCGTCTGAGATTTCCGCTCCTTCAAATGAGATTTCTGAAGAGTTTTGTGTGTCATCGTCTTCAAAAGAGTCACGTGAAGAATGTGGTTTATGTTCTTCGTCGAGCTGATCAATGTCATCATCCGAGTGCAGTTTTTGTTCTTCTTGTGCTTCGAGCTCTTTAATGGCTTCCATGGCTAAATTTGCAGCCTTTTCATAATCAATTACGTATCTACAAAAGGGAAATGAAGTAGTTTTCATGTTTGTCCTTGGTGCTGATATAAATCTAGTTCAGATGGGCTTTAGGTTCAAGGGCAAGCAATTCGATTTGGTTTGGTTTGGTTTGGTTTTGGTAAGTATCACAAACCGAACCATCCGTAACCAAAAGCGTCTTCAAAACAAACTTACCAACATATAAAATGTTGACTTCTTCATCATAGCTTTTTCTATCTTTTTCCCCAAAAAAGTGGGACCCGTTAAAAACTTGTAAGTTTTTCTTGTCATTGGCCTTTTCAGTTGTGTAGAACATCTCCAACCATGACACCAAGAAAACTAAAAATCATGGCCCCTCAAACACCAAAAAAATCTCACTTCCCACCAATAATCTATAAGAATGGCGGGCCTATGGTTTGCCGTGTGATACATGCAGCGTGTTTACCTGCATTGGCAAAAAAATTGCCGTGTGGTTGGAGAGAAGAAAACGGCAAAAAGGAGATTTTGACGGACGGTTGGAGAAGCTCTTAGGTGGCAAAAAAGCTTTGCTGAAAAACTCTCCACAAAGCTCCATCGGAGATGCTCTAAACATAACCGCTTAGGTTTCATCGTTTATTTATCATGAATATTTTAACAAATAAACTATAGTTCGTTGTAATTTCATAGGCGGGATTGATTTTAAACCAAGAAGAAAGTCTGTTCGTCTACAAAACTGCTCCTTTTGGTACAGTTTGGTGTAATTTCATTGGCTCAACATCATGGGATACTGGATCAAGGGTTTTCTGAGATGTGGGTTTGATTTTACATTTTATTGAAAAATGACGTTCATTTTCTAAAAAGAAGTCATCGAATTTACATTAGAGCATCCACAATGGAGCGTATTATAAAGCTTTCTATAGAGTTTTTGTGGCCACTTAAGGTTGTGAAAGAACTCCCCTTGTGCAGTTACTAGCTCTCAAAAAGCTTATTTTTGCTTGCGGGTTCCTTTTTTCAGAAAAAAAAAGCTCCAAACAAAGTCCATTCTGGATGCTCTTAAGAGGTTCAGAAACCTTGTGGATTTTTCTGCACCTTCCCCAGTTCAGTTGAACTAGATTCAGCTATAAGGGTTAATAAAGGAGATCCTTTATGTACCTGTTTAGATCTAACCCAGCAGAAACAATGGCTGATTCCATCTGCGAGACAATATCTGTCGAAGAGTTGATCATGTTGGTTGTTAAGTATCCTCCACGCTCTGCTATTTCAACCAGAAATCGCATGTCAAGGGCAAACTGTTGTGGAAAACACAAGTTAATAAAAGAAAGCTGCAGATACGATGATGAACTTCAGGAATAGATGCAAGTATTTGACACTCATTATCATAATGAAGCCATGTTTTTAGACATAATATTGCACTCTTGTTGAGTAGAAATTGTCACCTGAGTCAGTCTATCAGATTGCTGATCAGTTGTATCCGCATTGTCATGAGTTATTCGGGTTTCGCCATTTATGGAAATCCAATCAAATGTAGTCTGTACAAGCTCTGTCAGTAAGTTCACCAACCAATCAAATTCAGCCACGTTGTCTTCGGCAAGTTCTTCTACTTTCCTTAGTTCTAGAAACAATACCTGATCATACAGTCTCGATGAATATCGGAGGAGACGAAGAACAGAGATGATACGTGTGTGGGTCAGCAAATTGCATACACTTATGGTTGTTGCTAAGATTATTTTATTTTCATGGATGCTAACATCTTTATAAGAAAATCCATATAGAAATTAGCAAGACATGATCGTGATCCTAACTGTCTTAAAAGAAGCCAACTTATGAATGTGCTTCCTCTCAGTAAATTATACAGGATGCACAAAAACATGAAGAAAAAAAACTACCTCAGGTTCTGCTAGTTCTAAGGAAAACCCAATTCTGAATTCATATTTAGATTAAAGATGCATCCCGATGAAGGCTTTTAAAAAAGACAACATCAGCACACACACGTGTATATATATAAATATATATCATATAGAGAGAGGTTCAAGGGAAAAGCCCCAAAAAATGAAAAACTGAGGAACACCCTGGTAACCATTCATCTGGAAAATGTGCCCATGTGCATACAAGTAAATGAAGCTGTTTCTTGGTTTTTATGCATGTGTGCATGCTATGAACATGTTCATACCCGACAAATTGCTTACAAGTTACTTGTATCATTGTATGCACATGTGCATACCATAGAAATGAACGGATACACTCATACCAGGGTGTTTCTTAGTTTTTTTTTTTTTTTTTTTTTCTTGTGGTTATCCCCTGAACCTGACCCTATATAAAAGAAATCGTTAATGGTTACCTGATAAGGAAGAGAAGGCATCAGATCTTGCAACAAGTCAGAGTCAACATGGTCCCCAATACAAGACGCTTCATTAGACATTATGCGATGTATAAATTGCTTGCAGAAATGAGTTCTCAGTCTACTGCAAGTGCTTGCAACTGATTCCATGCGACCATTAACTACACTCTTTAACTGATTTATGTCCTTGAAGAGGTTTCTGATCATGCTGGAGAAGAAGTGCTCAAGTGTTGATAAATTGGCAATTACAGAAACTTTTTCTGACAGTGATTCTGCTACTTTGATTCTTGATGCACCTTCTACTACATATTCTGTCTCATTGGTGAGGGCTTTTTCTAGGATTAAAGTGTACTCTGTAAACAGGTCCATGAGCTCTTCAAGAATTGATCTTCCCAAAATAATGACCAAAGATGAAACGTCTTCTATGACAGCCTAGAATGGTCAAATGGAAGTAAGAAACTTTGGCACATGAAGAATTGTAATCCTCGGTTCCAATAGAAGAGATGAAGTTTGATTTTTGAGTTAGAGAAGTAATTCCATCTTCATAACCAATATGAACTATCTGAACTTTTTAGACAAACTTGACAACTGAAATAAACCTTGTAAAACTTGTTGCATACAGAAAGTTCTCAGTGCTAAAATTAGTAGATATCAATATCAACTTTGATTTTTGACAACAACGAATATGATCTCAAAGTGCTAAGATGTCTTCTAATTTTGGAGATTGAGCATACCTGTAAGAGTGACACGAATTTCCTGCCACTGTTGGTGAGTAAGCAATATTCAGGATGTTGCTCAAAAGCCATTGAAGAGCTCCCTTTTGTCAACATTCCTGATACAAGATATCTTCCCATAACCCAAATATCGCTACATGTGAAGATGCTGATAACTTTCTTGAAATGATCAAAATGAGCCTTCAAAATACCTTCCATACAAGGAAGGATGTTCTCAATCAAGCATGGTTGTAACACTAACTTTTGGCTTTCTAACATCAAGCAATATGACATGGCAACATGCACAGAGTTGACCACCATTGACAACCCACTGCTGATCTGTGAAATTGATGCAACATTTCTATTGAAACAAGCCGAAAAAGTTTCTGTTTCCTCACAGGCCCATTTCATAAGTTCTGAATCGTAAGGAGAAGTTTCTCCATGTAATACGACAAAACTCCTTGCTGCTTGAGACATCATAGAAAAAACGTATTTTGCTATATTATGAATGTAAATCTCAGGTGGAAAAGTTGCGAAGGACTGCAACTGGTTTACACCTGAAGTAATACGAGTATCGTAATACTTGAGCAGTAAACGTGTTGCAAGATGATCAAAACCAAGCCGTGAAAGTCCAACTAATGATTTTTGCAGTTCTGCCGCAGTGACTCTCGCGTTATCAGCCACCAGTGTCAGCTTATCAGCAAGCATGACCCTCCTTTCTGCCATGTCAGATTTATAACACATCCAGACATCTGGTGAAATATCTTCTTGAAACTTCACTTTTGGAGAATCACCATCTTCAATCTCGAAAATTTCTAAGGCTTCTTCTAATCTATGCTCAAACAGAAGGTTGTCTAGGGTTTCTAAAACCTCAACAGAACAAGCCTTGAAAAATGTCGTACGGTTTTGATCATCAAGCACGGATTCATCAAGAACTGTGTCTATTGGATCATCTGATACAGCCTTTAGACAAGCACCATCCATTAGATTCCGAACAAGCTGTTTTTGGACCAGCAGGTGTTGCTTCAATTGCATCACTTCATTGTTTATACCTTCTGTTTCTCTGAAAACCCTGTGAAACATGATGACCAATATCAAATTGACAAATCCTGCAGTTATCAGGAAAACTCATATTACCAAAAACTATTTAAGTTCACCTGATAAAGGATGAATAATTGGAAATTATGTTATCTTGGAAATCAACGTCAGATGCTTGCTTCAGCTCAATGAGTTCTAAACATAGATGATTAATCCCCTAAAACGATCAAAAATTTATCACTAATACAACAGAACAACAGGAACAGATTTGCATGTGTCATTACAAGCAGGTGATGTTCCCAGACACAGGATCTAGAATCAGAAAGAAGTTCATCCAGTTCTAAGTTATTCAATCAAAATCAATTTTGAATCCATGAAATCCATGACAGCTAGTAAAATGTAATTTTCCAGATGTATTAGTGTCATTTAGGAAGCACAGAAAAATAAATTTACTGTCTACCTTGGCTGTCATAGAAGCAAGCTCCTCAGACTCGATTTCCGAGTCTTCATCGCTGGTGACTGAAGTCGATTCAGAAGTTGTATCACCGATCGCAGATTCTCCATTCTCCATATCATTACCGTGATCTCTGAATCGGAATTTTGATGCCGGAGGAGATGTTTCCATTCCGATTTTAGGTACAATAGAGATCTGGAAGAGGTGATTAATCCAATGCAATGATTCGAATCTCCATTTTGTGCCATTTGTTCGAGAAAATTCTTCGATTTCTTCGTTCGGTCGATCGCAACGAGACACATGATTGCTTTTGATATGCGTTTGTTTTTTACCCGCAAAAAGGTTCATGAACTTATACGATGTCGTTTTGTTTGGCGGGAATTGCAAGGAGTTTATGTTGTTTTATTGTATCGCATTTTAACACTACTAACGGCCGTTTATTAAACGTTTACTCGATAGGTGTTTATTAGATAATTTTCCTTATCGGATGAACATAGCAAGACTCGATAATCTTATCCAGTAAAAGCGATAATAAAGATAGAGAGTTTTACCCGGTAAGTGAGGGTGACAACTCTTACCGGGTAAGCTCTTACCAAGCAAATTGTTACATATGATACCATTTTTTATGTACTACAATCTTACTCGGAAAATAAATTATATAATGATAAGTGCTTATCGGGTAAACAGCCCCTAAGTATTTATAAAAATAATAATCAAATGTTGTTTGATATAACAGTATCTGGATTAACAGTAGAGTTCAATCTTTTAAAAGGCCAAGTGTTCAAATTCGGTTCAAATTTTTCTCGAGCTAAGCACATATCTTGGCACGTTAGGAACTCGAATCCAGTTCGAGTTTCTTTAACTATTAACTAGTGGCGGATTCAAAAATTTTGTGGAACGACTGCACCTTTAAGGTGGATAAAAGGTCTGCAAAGTCGTCCAATATGTTTTTAATCAAATTTCACCGACTTTGAAGGATATTTTAAGTTTTTTTTGTTGGTTCCGAGAGATCTTTTCGGTTTTTTGGTTGATTCTGAGAGACTTTTCGGGTTATTGGTTGATGTCCTTTGTATTTTGTAACGAAGCACCCTAAAAGGTTAGTGCATGCGCAACTCAAACCCCAAAAGAAACTTTACTTGCAAAGATCAGTGGACATGGTGCACATGATCCAACTCGGGCCTTCAAAGGTCTGCCCCTACCGTTAACGTCATCGAGTTGAGCTTGAGCTTGACTTTGCTTATTTATAACAAGTTTTATTGCATATTAATCGTTTTATTTATTAAATTGCACAGTACACAAACAGTAAACTATGTTGTTACAAGATTGGGTCTGGTGAGAAACGTAGCAAGGGATCTTCACCTTTTGATACACATTAGGATGAGATGTACCGGATCAATTCTCATATGAAGCCCGATTCATGGGTGAGTTTGAGATTAAAGGTCATTAAAGGTCCAGATTAATTCTTACGTTTCTCAACTTATATTCTCACACGATCTTTCGCATGTTATTTAAAGCGATTTTATACCATTTATACTAGATAATTTGTAAAGTAGCTACAAATACAATTGGTGATGTTTTAAGCTTCAAGCTTTAAGAAGTTATCAGGGTATCATGAGTCATATAGAATTGTCAAAGCCATTGACAAAATAAATTAATTATTTATAATACTAATAGATGTAAATTATAATTGTGGATGTAATATTGAATTGGATACCACATCAATCGTCCACATTAGCATGGTAATATATTAATGTTTCAACCAGTTACTCGGGTATTTAAATTTTTAAAACTTTATATCTTATATACCAAAATGGAAGTTTTGAAAGCACGTTACCCACAATAAGAATCAAGTTAAAGTACGTTACGTTTTCATGTAATTTGATCTAATATAATGAATGTTTAAAATTTTAAAATACAAAATTTATTGAAATTGAATATAAATTTTTTATAAAAATTTTGATTTTTGGTTTTCTATATCAAAAAAATTGAAGATGCTAAATGAAGATAAAGACAGAGTTGTTCGATCGTCATAAAAATTCCACTTTAGATGTTCGCATTTACTCCATGGGTTGTCATACACTGCCACGTTTTTTGTGAATTCCTGCCGTCCCCATTTATTTAATATAATTCATAATTATAATCGGGGGTAGATTCAAAAAATCGAGTGATCATGAAAAAGTAATATATTTTAACTTGATTCATATTTTGTGTAATATATTTTTAAAACTCATATTTTGATATTTAAGATGTAAAGTTTTAAACATTTAAGTACCATACTGATATGGCGAGTGATGTGGTATCTAACTCAATATTATTTGTTATTCAACCCAATTTCATCTCATCACTCGCCACATCAGCATGGTAACGGGTTAATGTTTCAATCGGTTACCTAGATACTTAAAAGTTTAAATTTTTACATCTTAAGTACCAAAATGAAATTTTTGAAAATACGTTACCCAAAATAAAAATCAATTTAAAGTATGTTATTTTTTCACGCAATTTATCTTTTATCATATGGTTTCACAAACTTAAAAATGCAAACCCTTGGTTAAGCTAATAATCTTGGTTTGGAAAATTCTCAAATAAAAGCGGTCAAATTAGTTGGGTATAATGAACCATCTAGAACTAATTTTTAATCGGTTTTAAACAGTTAACAACATATTGTTTTTATAAACTAGAAGGCTACTCGTGCAATCTATCGAAACACATTTTCATTTTAATGTTTCGTTTTTTTTTTATCCATGTCAATATAATAGGATTTTATGTGGTTTTAAGAAAACGATAATGTTTTTATTTTTTGAATAAAATATAACTTTAAAAATATAATATAAACTTTGCAAAAAATATATTAATATTAGTATTAAATTATGTATTTAAAAGTTTTTATTTGTATATTTTTTTAATTCAAAATTTTTATTATAATTTAATTTATCGTAACGAAGTAACTTAATTTAGGTTTAATAATATATTTTTTTATAAAAATAATAATTAAGTATTCTGTTAGAACTCAATAATTATCCTAATTATATTTTACATTTTTTATATTTTAAAATAAGATGTTTATTCTCTATTTGATTTTGTTTATCCGCAATTAGTTACATGAATTCAAATATAGAGCTTTAATAAGTTGTACTTATGCACAATTTAATTGTAATATTGAATTTTAAGTAATATGCATCAATAAACAGTACTTCATGCATAAATATGTTTTTTAAGAGTTTTTGTCAAATGTTTTATAATATAGTATAGATAAATAAGTTAAAAACGATAAGACTTACAAAATTCGGACCAACCAACCCTATTATCAGTTATTATTTCTATAAATACATAATATATATTTTTAAATTAATTTATTTATAGTATGTGAACTATGATTGATTTAATGTCATAAATAAATCACATAAAGTGTTATTGTTGCATACTTCAATCAAAATACCATTAATTTATCTTCAATAGCTATGTTATTTTAAAAAAAAAATGATCCAACAGGTATGCTAAACTCTCCTAAAAATAAGGAAAAGAGATGAGAGAGAATTAAAAATTTTCAAAATTTAAATGAAGAAAGAGAAAATATAGCAGTATACCCAATGAAATAGATGGCTATTTGAGTCATTCAAATTGGTCTTCTGGTCATTCTTCTCTATCGTTTACCCAGATGTTACCACATCCGCAATATAACGGACCTGACCAAAAGACACAAAAAAAATCCACCAAGTTAGCAAGTGGCACCGTCGTAATTGCATACCTGGTTATCACAATTGTGTACCTGAGTTGAATCTAATAAAAAAATTATGTCATTTATCCAGGTCCGTAATATTGCGAACATAGATATTACAGATGTAGTGACATTTGAATAAACCCATAAAAGGAATGATTGAGAGATCAATTTAAATATATGAAATAATTATTTGAATCAATTTCCCCCAATAAAAATGAAATTGACCTAAATGACCATATTTCACAATCAAATTGACTTCATAATCATTTATCTTCAGACTTTATCCAAAAGTCACTAGATTTGCAATACCCAAGTACACAATTATTGTTTGCCCACTAAACTACAAAATTCTAGAGTTTTTGGCCCAGGTCCATAACCATATGTCCGTAATTATTACGGATCCGATTCAAAACCCATTTTCTTGAATCCGTACGTGTCCACCTTGGGGGTTTCATAGAAAAATGAGTTTTTGGTCAAATTCGTAATAATTGTGAACCGATGATTACAGACCTAGTAATTTTTAGGTAACGTATAAAAAAAATGGTCAAGAGGTTAATTTAATTGTGAAATATGGTCATTTAAGTCAATTTCTTTCGATAAAAACATCCCTAATAAATGAGTTGATTTAGGTGCTAAATCTAATGTTGGAGAATCTTCTACTGTTTTTTTTAATAATTAAATGAAAGTTAAAAAAAATTCCAAAAAATATATATTAAATTGAAATATTTATGAAAATGATGAAAATTCATTTATTATGATTTGAATATTTATAAAAGATGACTATGGCTTATTAATTATGATTAATACTTTATATTAGGAAACAATCAATTTTTTTTATGAAATCACATATCCATCAAATTAAATGGACGTTAAGATTAAGATGTATTGGTTGTACAAGTGTAAATGGTTGCATAATAACTCACCTCTTATTATATATAACAGTTTGTAAGTAACTTTCAAACAAGCTTTATAATGTAAGATAATTTTAACAAACTTGATATAAAACTTAATTTTCAAATAAAAGTAATTCATCATTTTTTTTAATCTGTTTGCATAGCTTCACATTTATTAGCTACCTGTTACTTGGTTGATCAGGTATACTCACATAAAGATGTTCATGAACAATCTCGGAAAAGGCCACCAGAACCCCCTGACAAATGCCCTGTGGCAAAGGAGAGGCTCAAAAAGCAATTGATCATATCACGATCTATTTTAAATTCCATGAAATCGATTATAAATCATAAATTTAAGATAATTAATGTTATTAATTAACAAGACAATTATCGTTATTTATTAAATAAAAATTAATATATTTTTTATAAGAAATTACATACACATCTCTTTCTCTTTCAATCTCTCATCTCCCCGTAAACATACACACACAATTAAATGTGTATGTAAGGTGAACACAATGTAAACAACCTTAATTTTTTACTACAAATGTTCACAAATGGTATTAAATTTTAGTTTTATTGATTTAGGGGCCATTTACTAAAGACTTACTCGATAAATGTTTACCGGTAAAATTCAACATTGTTATTTACCTACCGGGTAAGATTTTACTCCACGAAAACAACACATTATGTAATAATCTACCCGATAAGCTTTTACCGTGGTAAGAGTCGTCGTCTTCACTTAACGGGTAAGACTCTTTTTTTTTTGTCTCGCTCTTACTGGGTAAGATTTTTAGTCATTGTCATATTCATCCGGTAAGGTAATGTGGCTTGATAAACGTTTACTCAGATAAACGTTTGGTAAACGGCCCCTTAGTTGGTGTTTTACGATATATTCACAAACTATATTAGATCTTGTAAATTTTAAAATGTATTCACAATATTACACAAGGTATAATAATATTTTTAAGAAAATATTCACGATATGTTCAATTTGTATGTATATTCAATTATATATGTGTACACATGTGTTATAGACAAATAAAAGAGAAAAAATATTGACGTGTGAATATTTGGATTCCCAATTAAATCTTGAAATTAACGATTCATAATATGTGAGCGAAAAGTAGCACGTGACCATGAGGGTAAAAATAACACATCTGAAATGTCAAAATTACAAACTCCATGGATATGAAAGAATTGTTTGTTAATTTAAAATTGGCAAATTTGATCAATACAATCAAATCATGTCTCCATTTATCCGGCGGCGGCGAAAAGTCTCCGATGGAAGTATAAACATCAACCAAATCCCCAATTAACTACCATACCTCCTTATCCTCCATCGGCGAACACGCAGTCAACCACCGTACGTCACACGACGGAGACAGGGCGAATGAGTAGTGGTTTAAAGTTCATCGTCGTCGTGTTCGTTATCGTCGGGGTTTTGGATAGAGTCGCCGTCGTAAATGGCAGCCAGTTCAAGGGGGATTACTCCAAGTTATCGGGGATTATAATACCAGGTTTTGCGTCAACTCAGCTTAGAGCCTGGTCTATTTTGGATTGCCCTTACTCACCTCTTGATTTCAATCCCCTCGATTTGGTTTGGCTCGACACGACTAAAGTATATCATTCTCTATAATCTGAAACCTTATGAATATAACATGTTATTGTGTTGTTCTATTAAAAATCTCGATATTATGTGGTTATATATGTCTTTTGATGATTTGCTGATTAAGCAACAGTGACGTGAAATATTCTACGAATTTCGATTTATTAGTTTATCGAGGATACGGGAATGTATTAGCTCTGTTGAAGTGATCCGCATTTAAGTTTAACTGTTCTGATTGTGGTAAGCTGTTGTTGATTTTCCTAGTAGATGGTACGTAGTGCTCCATGATCGCTTGTTTTAAAAACTAAATTGTATTTACATTTGGATGTCAAATGGGGTTAGTTTTCAACTTAAACATGTATGGATTGTAAGGTGTTATAGAAATATTGTTAATAATATTGAGCTTTATAATTAGGACAAATAGAATGATCTCTGTCTTCTATTTGATTCCTCTTATTGCTTCATAAAATTTGCTTAAATTCTCACCAGTACCCCAAAATTAGCACTTAGGGATCTCATCCATATATACCCTTCATCCATGGATAAGGACAAAACATTTTTACTGTTTTATAGGTGTCGAAATTTCAAGAAAATTTATATTAATCTTGCAGGTGAAAAGATAAGGCTTGACATGGAAAAGTAGAGAACAAAACAAATCAAACAAACCTGGTATATCTCACAGAGAGGTAGGGTATGGAGGGTAGGACGTACAGACCTTGCCACAACACCAACAACTGGATAGCATGTGGTTACCGAATGTGTATTAGTCAAGACACTCATTGTGCATGGTGATGCCCCAAAGATGACTCATGGTGCATGATGCAAGATGCTATGCTTTCCATATAAAAAAGAAGTCAAAAACAAAAAAGAATTATATCGTAATCTATCTATTGTAGAGTAACATATGTAATCTAAGAATAGTGTGTGCTTTAATACCAGAACCCGCAGCATGATGACTTTGTGCTTGTACAATTCAATATTTTGTAGTCTCGTTTAGATTGGTACTCCTGGGGAATGAATATATGCTCCATTATGTGTTTTATAGGGGCTGATGTTATATTGATATCGTCTATTCGATCTTCGGTTGCATACATACTGATTGTGCAATGACCTGATAAGACATGTTGGATGTTATGCTCTATTAGAATGCAATTCATTTCTGCTTGTCTATGTTTAAGCTATAGCAGAAGTAATGCTACATTTTTCTCATTTTCTATCCAATACTGTCGGTGGATGATAGAAGAAGGCTACAATCTACCATGCAGTGTCTTTCTGCAATGAATTGCTGGCTTAAGTGCATGATGCTGGATCCTTACAATCAAACAGATAACCCCGAGTGCAGGTCCCGCCCAGATAGTGGCCTTTCAGCCATCACTGAGCTTGACCCAGGTTATATAACAGGTAATGTTTTTCTCTTTTCTCAATCTGGATTGCTTTTGATGTATGACATACTTTGATCTCCCTGCCTCTCTTCCTCCATTTCACAATTCGTAGGATGACTCATTGTAGAAAAAACTAGATATAGACTAGTAGCCACGGGCTCTAATATAATGGACCATTATGGATATCAGGACAGTTCCATATATGATGTATCAACACATGCTTCATGACTTGTAGGCAGGTTGAACCTAAAGGGAAGTTGTGATGCAGCAGCCTTGCGATTTGAAACTCTTGCCTAAGTCGACTTGAATGAAGTAGCCTGGCTGAAAGTCCTATTTGCTTTTACTTTTCTTCTCTTGTTCCTTTTTCTTAGTTAATCCCAATAAAGTACAAGATATAGCTTGCCTATTGTACTAAGATGCCCTCCTCCAGCAAATTATAACCAAGTAAGGGGCACAATTGTGTATACACCATCTGTGGTGTCTTGGCCTGCATAATACATTTTCTATTTTTCAAATCAACACGTGAATGGTGTAACATTTGTAAGAAGAAAAGGCACACCTGTAACAATAACATTATCTATGAAGGGGATATATACACATTTACACATCCACACACACACATAGATATATGTATGTATATATGCATATACTTCTATATACGTATGTGTGTGTATCTGACATTTATGTGTGTGTGTATCTGACATTTATATGTGTGTGTACTAGGTGTATGTAGTCCTTGGTCTGCTCTGAACTATCATGTATAGCACGACCTGAGTGCCTCTTTAAACTAACAATGCGCCTTATTTTGAGGGATTGTAAATATATGGTAACTGGATACTCAATTATTAATATCTTTGTTTCCCTGAAAGTGAATTCTTGATTCTCAGGCCCTCTTTCATCAGTGTGGAAAGAATGGATAAAATGGTGCATTGAATTTGGGATTGAGGCAAATGCTATTCTTGCTGTCCCATATGACTGGAGACTGTCACCATCAAAGCTTGAGGAGCGGGACTTGTACTTCCACAAGCTAAAGTTCGTATATAGCTATATACCTTGCATAATTTACGCGTTTCTTGAAGTTCTCCCTTTTGTCCAATCTCTCCTTATCCCCCTACTGAAGTTCATCATCAATAGATCATCTTTCTGTATATGACATGCATGGGATCCCACATGTAATTAAATTTTCTCACACAGTTCTTTAAAAGATGACATGATGGACTTGCTTTTACTAGCAATATCGAACATAGGCTGACAATTACTTCCTTAAACCTCCTTTTTGGTTTGCTAGTTATTTCTAACTTATTCCTGTCTTATTCATTGTTGGTTGGCAATTACTTTCTTAAACCACGTCTTATTATGGATGGTCGGTTAGTGTCAGATTTATATTTGTCCGCAAAGTAAGTAATTAGTACGTAGTGACATCACCAAAACAAGATTTACAAGGAAGCAGACTAGATATTATGTGAAGTTCCTAAAACTTGATCCTACTTGTATATTTGCCACTGTTCTGCCGTCAATCAATTGCTCGTAGAGGCAGAATCTTTTCTTCCTTACTTTTCCTTTGTCTATGAGAATTGGCACATTCTTCCTTATATTGATGTCCAGGATTGTTTCTGTGTCTTTGCAGACTTACCTTTGAAACAGCTCTTAAACATCGTGGTGGTCCATCCATAGTATTTGCCCATTCACTGGGTAACAATGTTTTCCGGTACTTCTTGGAGTGGTTGAAACTAGAAATTGCCCCCAAAAATTACATCCGATGGCTAGATGATCATATTCATGCCTACTTTGCTGTTGGTATGGAGGACTCATTTCATTTAACCCGTAGCACACATACATGTTTACTACTGACTCTAGGGGATAATGTACGCAATTCTGTTTTCCTGTTCTTAATTTCAGGGTCTCCTCTTCTTGGTTCAGTTCAGACGGTAGAAGCAACACTTTCTGGATCCACGTTTGGTCTTCCTGTACCTGAGGTCCGTTCTCTTTCTTTTTGTTACATTTTTGTCACCAGACTGCTTCAGTCAAATTGCACCTTAGATTTGGAGAGAGTCTAGGACTCTAAATGGCTTTTCTCTACTTGTCTGTGGGGTTGGATGGAGCTTTATTACATCCTGTCTTGAATTTCCCCTTTTTTCTCTTTAGCCACTAATATCTAAATTCTCTTTGAATTATTTGTGCGCCTTCTTTTGTTTTTTTGCCATCTTATTCTGTTTCTACCACATGTCCCACTTAAAAATTATTTTTGCATTCATGTTCTGCGACTATGTCAACTTAATTTTGTAGTTATGCCCATAAATTAATGTGCATCATATGTTTTGGCGAGATATCAGGGGACAGCCCGATTGATGTTCAATTCATTTGGCTCTTCACTATGGATGTCACCTTTTTCAGAATATTGTCGGACTGAAAATGTGTACTCAAAGCATTTTTCTGGTGGGCGCAGAAAGAAACACAATGTATATCACTGTGATGACATTGAATATCGGTCGAACTTTTCTGGATTCCCAACTAACATAATCAATATTGAGATCCCTTCAGTTGTAGGTATGGGATGAGTCTGATCAATGTTTTTATGAGAGAAGGTGCTCGACGTTAACCATATTAATGGGTTTTAATACTGTAGCAGAAGCTTATCCATCCTTCGGAGATGAAGTACAGGCCAACTTGTCTAACATGGAATGTGGGATCCCTACTCAGTTATCCTTTTCTGCTCGAGAAATAGCAGACGGGACATTTTTCAAAGCGATAGAGGATTACGATCCAGATAGCAAAAGGCTTCTCTACCAATTAGACAAGTGAGTAAAAGGAATTTCTTTGTATATTAGCCAAATCTGGCATGGATGCCTCCAATCTTGGATGCAATACTCTTTTGCTCAAACACTGGCCGTTTGGTTATAATAATCTTTGTCTTTGTGTGCATGTGTGTGTATTATTCTACTCTCAAGTACATGGCTATATGAACTTTTATTGCTAGAATGTGTCTTTTTAGTATTGAGAGTCATCATGTGGCTGTATTTCTGTATTTTCAAGTTCAAAATGTTAAGGCCATTCTGTTATGGATGGCATACTTCCAAAAAGAATGCCACTGAACTCTCTGTGCTATCCAGGTTGTATCATGGCGATCCCGTTTTAAATCCTTTGACCCCTTGGGAGAGACCACCTCTGAAGAACATCTTTTGTATATATGGCGTAGATTCAAGAACTGAGGTATTGATTAACATGCTACATCTCATTATCGGATCACTAAAGCATAGGGTACAGACATTTGCTTATCCTTATGCAATACTCCCTCCATCCCAAAGTAAATGTCCACAATGAAAAAGACGCACAATTTTAGAAATATGTAATTAGTACACTTCTTAATCAACTAAACGACGATTTTACCCTTAATAAATTGAGGGAGTAATCAATTTCTCCATCTCATAGTTAAGGGTATAATTGGAAAATAGACAGTTTTGAAAGTGGATACTTATTTTGGGACGGACGGAGGATAAGATTTCCTCAATGAACACACCCGTATGGGGCAAACTGTTGAGCAACTAGTAGGTTACTCTGGTCACAAAGTTTGAGTCGGCTTCTTTGCAAGAATGCAAAGGAAACCAAAGGGTCATTGACCCAGCGGTATCCAGGTTACCGGTAGAGCCCAACCCTTGTGAGGTCAAGGGTTTAAGCCTCACCAAAGGTGAGGAATGTGTGTGAGTTTTGCCGTATATAAAATATCATATACTTAAAAAGGGGAACGCAAAGGAAAATCTATATACAAAGAGTTGCCTCCCTGACCCTTAGACGCTGGGGAGCCTTAGCGTTCCTCGTCATTAATATGTTTGCTCGCGGCAATTGTGGTACTTGCTCTACTATTCTGCCCCATCCTGGCTGAGTGACACGTGGTCGCCCTTTGCAAATAGCACCTGAATCTCATATACTTTGCCAAACAGGTCGGTTACTATTTTGCACCAAGCGGCAAGCCTTACCCTGACAACTGGATTATGACTGATGTTGTATACGAGTTTGAAGGATCTTTGTATACTAGGTAACTCTCTTTAGGTTGAAACAGCAGTTCACGTATTAATAAATACAGAAAGATAATTCCTTTGCCAATCTTGGCCTTCATGATCAATGTAGTAGTTGAAAATTATCAGATTTCAATTCCTTTTGATTTGTGGGTATTCATTTTATTCCTTTCTTTCATATAGATCAGGGAATTTGGTTGAAGGGAATCCTGGATCTGCGAGTGGTGATGAGACGGTAAGCCAAAATAGTTAGATGGATGTTTTAGGTTATGATACGCTGGAGCTCCATGCTATTCAAGTACCTCATATTACCTCAAAATTAACAAATGTAAAGTTTCCTACAGGTACCATATCGTTCTCTTTCCTATTGCAAGAGTTGGCTGGGACCAAAAGTTAATATAACAAGAACTCCTCAGGTATATGCATGATGATTTGCAGTTAATATGTTAAACGGCTAATAGTTTCTTTCTCCTTATACCTCCCTCAAGTTTAAGTTTCGTAGTATTTTAGTTTAACTTCATGGTAAATCTGACAAATTAATCAAGAAATAAAAGCTTTCTGGTTCCAAATTTCTTTAATTGTTACATTGAATTGGCAACCTTAGCAATTGGAACCAGGGCTATAAGTTTCAACTGCCTTTTCACCTCTACTCCGTGCTGACCGAACTATGCTAGCTTAACCTACCACAACACATATTCTTGTTCAAAATATTCCTTCTTAGACGAAGGATCGTGTGAGAATAGGTGTTAAGGTGAGAAGTGTAAGAAGGGATTTGGACCCTTGATCACTTTTAATCTCAAACCAACCCATGAATTGCGTTTTAGAAGGGAATAGATCTGGTGCTTCTCATTAGTGTTGATCTATTGGAACTCTTCAATTAAGATTAATCCAAGGGTGGAGATCCCTTCTTACCCTTTTGACCATAACTCCCATTCTCACCGGAACCCAACCTTCCTTCTTATTAGGCTTGTTGCAAGTTTGTGCAAAAGGGTTCTTTAACCGGCAACCCCAGCGTTGGCCCACACCGCCACTCCACCTAGAGCATCATGAAAGAGGCGAATCAGGTACAAAGCTGCCTGCTAGGTGGCTGGCGTAAGAGCCCAGTACCCCCAAGGAGCCAATCCCCAAAGGAATTGTGACCCCCAGACTTGAACCCTCGTCAGGTTGTGTTGTGCCCTGCGGGCGGCTTGTTGCAATTTCATGGCTTTGTATTTCCCTATCAGATCTTAGATGGTAGACATGCATTTCATAAGCTTCTATTTACTTGGAATAAGACAGCATGATTTTGAACCTCAAATAACATGATGCCTGCCTACCAAACTTTGCCCTAAGCTGGCCATGACATAGGGAATGTTTGTTAGCAGCTTAATGAGCTTAATGAGCTTAATGGGACTCGCAGCTTATTCTGTTAGATATACATGATTGTTTGGTAGTGCCTTAATGATATAGAAAGTGACTTGTTCAATAAGCTTTTAGGAGAGAGTTTTATGCAGAAAGTCAAGTTTTTTTTTTCAAAACCAGCCCCTCCCAATTAAAAAACGCTCCTTCCATCTATGAAAAAAACCCTCCAAAACAAAACCGTTCCCAATCTATACAAACATATTAATCCACACAAATAGTTCTATCCATACAAGACTTGATGGAAAACCAACCAAACAACCCCATAATGATCTTATAGATGCATGTGAAGTAATAATGTCCTTATTTCCTTTTCTTCAATTAAGGCTTTGTTTTGTTGTTGTTTCAGTCAGAGCATGATGGGTTGGATGTGCAAATGCATTTGGATGTAGAACACCATCCTGGGGCCGACATAATTCCCAACATGACAAGGTCACCTCGTGTTAAGTATATAACATATTATGAGGATTCTGAAAGCCTTCCGGGACAAAGGACAGCAGTATGGGAAATTGATAAAGGTATCCAGTTTTTCTTTCTTTTATGCAATTAGCCACTTGAACGTATGGCAATCTTTTAGCATCTCGTGTAACAACCCGTCCCACATGGATAGAAAATTTCAATTGGTGAACTCCTTATAAGTTCGAAGTTGTTGGCTACCAATAACTTCCACCATGGTTTTAAGTTGATTTGGAGGTTATTGGGCCCGCATGCTGCCTTGGGCTGTCGGGCGTTACATGTTTAGCGTACATCCTACCCTCCCCACTCCTCAGACCAGACTCCATGTGCGATTCGCGGTGTTCGTTTGGTTTTTCTTTATGGAAATCTTTTAACCTGGATACTTGATGTAACATATGGGTGTGATGGTGAATTTGATCATCTTTTGCAGCAAATCACAGGAACATTGTGAGGTCCCCAATTCTCATGCGGGAGCTATGGCTCGAGATGTGGCATGATATTCACCCTGATAAGAAATCAAAGTTTGTTACCAAAGGTTGGTTTTCCCTTTTCAAGAACCCCATTAATGTCAAATAAAAGAATCTCCGAGTATTCACTTGTAAGTTTTTACAGCAAAGCGTGGGCCCTTGAGGGATGAAGACTGTTACTGGGATTATGGGAAAGCTCGTTGTGCATGGTCCGAGTATTGTGAATACAGGTATATCCACCGCTCCTTAAGAAACTGATTTTGCTCCATGTTTTGGCAGTTTACGTATGTAAAATGGCGCAGGTATGTTTTCGGAGATGTTCACTTGGGTCAAAGTTGCAGGGTCAAAAGCTCTTCAGCTGATCTCCTTCTGAATTATGTGTAAAAGCCATGAGGTAGTTTTTCTGATCCCTTTATATCTGATTTGTGTTTATAACTTCATGGAAACAGCCTCTTTAGACCATCTCCAATCGCAATACAAAAATTACAAGTTAGTGGTCTCATTGACACAAAAAGAAAAAAAATCAACTCCAACGGCTTTCCATATGGGTGCGTTTGGTATCCACACAGGCATAACAAGACAAAACAGTTATTCAGCGTATGCCGTATGGTAAGACTAGACAGGATAGAACAGATAAAATGACCAGTTTACCTCTAATGAGTTGTTGATATCTTTTATATATTTTGATTAATTTATTAATTTACTAAATTTTAAATAAAATAAATATTTTTATAACAAAATATATCATTAGGAAGTTTTCGTCAAGACGATTAAAATGACATCAAAATAAAAGGTTTATGTAGTTTCCGATTTTTATTTTATATCTTCTCTATGTTATTTTTTATTATTAATATTTAATAAATTACATAAATTAACCAAAATATAGAAACCGTATAAAAATAATATTTTGAGGACAGTAAAGTGAAAGTTTAAAGAGCATAAAAAACGATAAATAAAATTTAAATTATCAATAAAATGTAAAAGAGGAGGCATATTTGATATTTTAGAAGAGAATTAGATTTTATTTTGAGGTTATATCGGTAAAATATAGGGTGGGGGTGTCTGTTCCACATAAAAGTCCTGTCAAATGTAGAATAGTGATCCTTGTTGTGTTATGTCTTGTTCACTATACTAAACACTCCATATATGCCGTTTGATCCAGAACACGGCATATATGCCATTTCTCTTCCATCTCGAGCATTTTGCCTTTCCTTTTGCTATTCAGTTGGAGCCAAATGGTGTTTTTGCAGTACAGTTTAAGATGCCCTTACACTTTACAGTAAAGGAATTGGTGCATACATCTTACCATCCTCATACCCTACTTCAAGTAAGATTTACTGGGTTTGTTTGGTTTGGCTTGTTTTGTGTCTATAAGATACCATCTTTCGGTTTTGGGTATTTTAGATGATCTAACACTTGAACTATATGGCAATACGGTAAAGGTCGTTTGATTTATCGATCTTGACAGATAGAAAACTTTGATGCAGGACTCACTCTCCATAGAAATGCAAAGATGGTCCGGTTTCGTTCGATGGTGATGATGGGTCTATCGTGTTTATATTGATCCTGGAATTAAACACGATAATCCCATCGATGATCAAAGTGTACCCACACATAGGGGATCGATGAGCATCAAGGGAGAAGGGTTGTTGTTTTGAAGCATTCTACAGCCATTAGTGATTCAAAGTATGTAGTAGATGTATCATTCATCATGTTGAACAAATAGACATAAGGCCAATGTCAGCCAAAAAAAACATTCACTCTTTAATGTTTGGTTAATTTTCTTTAGAACAAATGCCATGAAAGTTTGGATACTTTCTAGGAGCATATATTTGCACGTGCCACTATTTCATGGTTACGTAACGAGAAAAAATTACTTCTAAACCACAAGGGTGCTGCCTGATTGGTTTGAGCTTGACTCCAAAGGTCAAAAGTGTCTGGAGGTCTCAGGTTCAAATCCAAGAAGGAACAAAAATCCCCTTGTGGCCACGAAGGTTCAAATGTGATGACTCCGGGCTACCTGCAAAGCATGTGGTTGCCCTGGGATTAGTCGGCTCGCATAGCGGGTTGGATATCCCGGTGAATAAAAAAAAAGTACTTCTATCAAGGGAAACATGATTTTGTTTCGTTGGGTTCCTTATATGTTTGAAACTAAACTATTGATATAAGTTTTTAATGACGGAGTTGGTAAATGTTAGCTGCATTTGTACAGAAGGTCTTTGGGTTCATGCCGCGATTTTGTCAAATTTCTTAGTTTTCGGCTTAAGTTTTGGTGTTTTCTTTATACGTACTTTGTGTTTTAAAAAAATTTGAAGATAGGATTTGAACACAGTTACTTTTTGTGTTGGATAAAGAATCAACTAATAGATTTATACTGATTTTGTAAAAAAATTCTACAAATATATTTATTCTTATAGTCAAGTTATGTTATGCCAACACTTAAAAAAAATTCTAAGTTCGCGTAGTAAAGCTATTGTTCTAATGAACTATGTTGTTAATAGCGGTGCAATAGTGGTTGTCGGTCATAAGCAAAATAGCAGTGGTAAATTTGCGAGGGTGGGAATTGTGTTTCAATAATAGCGGCGCAATTTACCACTATTTCACCGATATTTAAGGTAAATAGCGGTTCGCATTACTGCTATTCTCAAATAGGCCTCTTTTGAATCTAATGCTTACGTTTTTGTCTTTTTTGGGCATTTATTTTGATATTATTTTAATCCATCAATAGTCAACGATTATCATCCGGTTTAGAAATTCTTAGATTCTTAGTTTTTCAATTTCTTTCTATCATCGTCGACAGTCAACCTTCTTCGACACTATTCGAATTTTCTATCATCGTTTATGAACATTTTTCCTATTTTGTTTTGTAAAACTTGTTTAAGTTGATGTATTTAATGCATATAATATGTTTATGTATGCATACATATATATTATATATACAAGTCTAAGAAATATTATATAAACTGCTATTTTCATACCATTATATCATCACGATAACTGTTATTTCAAATATCAGTCCGGACGCCTATTTTGTATTTTGACCGCTGTAACAACATAACTCATGAAGAGTTCTAACTTGATTCAATAAAAAAGCAAGGACGAGAGTCTAAAACCAAGTCAAACGAACCCCAGAGTGGGTTCTGGAAGGAGGAAGATGTACACATACCTGAATCTATCTTAAAGAATAAAGCAGTTGCTTCCATGAAATAAAATAAAAATAACCAAAATAAGTAAAACACCATATTAAGAAGAACTTGTTATCCTTTTCAAAGAGATGAAATTGACGAATCCATAACAATGTACAACTTCCAGTGAACAAGGTACAAGTAGCTACAGCAGCATTGCTCTGGATTGAGCAAAAAAAATCAAATCTTAAGAAAAGCTAAAAAAAAAAGGGTAAATAAAACTGAGAATTGATGCCTTTAGACTTGAAGAATGAAAATTTTCCATTAACTTTTCTTCTTGATCTCAAAGGAATAATCCAGCTCCAAATAACACCTCTTATCATCATCTTCAAACTGCATTCTCAAACAGAGTTAAATTAAAGATGAAAAACTGAGGAACGTCTTAATAACCGTTTATTTGTATGATATACACATGTGCATGCAAGTAATTAAAGTTGTTTCCCACTTTCTATACGCGTGCACATGTGCATACCGAAAACATTACTTACAAATTACTTGTATGCACATGTGCATGCCGTACATATGGATGGTTAATAGGGCGTTCTTTAATTTTTCACTTTTTTTGCGGTTTATCCCTTGAACCCGACCCTGTATATATATGGGGCAAATACTCGGACACAATCTTAACCTATGGTGAGGTTTGAACCTTGACCTTCAGGGAGACTAGTATTTACCGGATAACACTGAGCCAATGACCCTTTGGTGACCGTATAACATTTTCATTTTGTGGGTCCATTTATAACGGTATGAGTTATGAGACAAAGAAGATGGATACGAAAAATGGAGAATGGGCGACTTACCTTCAGCTTTGCTTTGTATATTCCTCTTGCAAGAACGCCAGACGGGGTGGTCTCTTCGTCTAACGTTTCTACATACGCATCTTTCTGGGGTGCAAACGTACCCAACATTCCTTTGATTCGATCCACTGACACCACCATCCCACAATAAACAAATAAATCGAACTAATTAATATCCCACTCAAAAGTACAGTCTGGGGGTGAGATGTACACAGATCTGTACTCTACCCTTTGGGGTAGAGCAGGTGTTTCCATGAATACCCTCCGGCTTGTGCAATAAAAACCAACAAATCAACAAAAAAAAGACAGTTAACAAGTTCTTACTTCTTAGACGAGTGAGCAAAATTATATATGCATATATGGTGAGAATGATGCCTAATCAAATGAGAACCAAGTAATTTTTGATAACCGTGAGATCCAATGTGAGCCACTCATTTAAGATAATTATGTTACTTATTAGATATCGAGAAAAGGGTAATTTAGTAATATAAAGACAACTCATAAATGCACTTAATTAATTTATTCTCTCCATAAATAGGAAATCCATAACTCTCCAGGGTGTGTTATCTTTGAATCTTTGATGCCAGTAACACAAAGTGTATTTTCGTTGTTTCGTTTTTTTTCTTTGTATCACATTCTATGTTTTCGTTGTTTACACTGTATCACATTGTGTATTTAAAGGTATCACAACCTATAGAGAGTGGGTATCACAATGCGTTATTTGTTTACCTCTTAATAGCTCCATTAAGAGGCAGTCTCTGAATCGCTAAGAGGTGAATCTTGTTTGGCAAAAAAAAAAATCTGCCTCCAATGGTTTTAAAACCCTCTGAATGATTTTGTATCATGGGCTTCCCTTAACCATTAAGCACCCCAGCTTCATTCTGAATAATTACCAAACAATTATATTTCATTTTGCATTATATCATATAAGAGTTTCTTAATCATTCTGCACCAAACCATTCAGCAACTTAAACGTTGATTTATGGTTGAGATTGGATCTCATAAATCTCACAAAAAACCGAGTTCTCCGTTAAATGACCCCCTAGTGAGTATATTATACACACATACATACATATATATATATATACACATGATATAATATCCAAATATTACATATTACATTATATGTTTATTTCGGTGTCGGGTCGGGATCGAGAAGTTACCTTGGATCCCTCCTTTCCACACTGTATTGATGCAGGTGAGCCCGGAAACAATGTTGTGGAGAACGGTAAATGATAGCTTAAGCCGATAGTGAACTCCTTCTTTTAGTGTAAAGAGGAGATGACCCCTCTTACTTTCCTCAACCGGTAACGAAGTGGTGATCTCCTCAACGTTATTCGACATGATTCCTATGGAGTGGAATTTAACTTCAGGATCCCTTTGTCCTAACAAAGAAATAACGAGTGAAAAATGTGGTCCGTAAGAACCAAACCAAACAAAATCCCGCACACATGATCTGATGGTAGGATGTACACAGATTTTAAGATTCCCGAACTTGCAAAACAAGGTCCACTAGGAAGCACGCAATTTGAGATTCGAAATTGGAAAACCGAAGCCATTATGATCAAACATGACTAGTTTGCCAACTGGTTTTTACCAAACATGACTAGTTTGCCAACTCGTTTTTACCAAACATGACTAGTTTACCAGCTAGTTTTACTCAATATGACAAGTTTACCAGCCAGTTTTTCCCCGACATGATTAGTTTACCAGCCAGTTTTTACCAAACATGACTAGTTTGTCGGGAAGTTTTTACCAAACATGACTAGTTTAGCGGCCAACAATCAGTTCTTCAGCCTAGGTTGCCAAACATAGTCTTAGGTGTATCGAAAGAGTTGGTATGTCATTTACATAATATTCGGTTTGTATCTTGTAGCACGATATGTACAATGTACCATATATTGTTTCCTCAGTCTAACATTTATCGGGACAATTATGCGAAATTGATCATAATAACGCAATAAAACTAACCATTCAAATCGCTATCGACACCACCAAGCAACTTCTCTTTCCACCTTCTTAAACTTTCATCATCCTGTAAAACCGGAAAAAAAAAACAACCGGTTAATGCTTCAACCGGTTACCTGGTACTTAAATGTTTAAAACTTTACATCTTAGGCACCAAAATGGAAGTTTTGAAAGTACATTACCCAAAATATGAATCAAGTTAAAGTACGTTACTTTTTCATGCAATATGTCCTTTTTTATAAACTTAACAACACCTTAAATCATAGCATTCGATGAAAAAGAATCATGTAAAAAAGTATTTTTACATCGGTTCTCATGGGTTTGTAACCTCTTTGTGGTTCTCATTTGATTAACGTCCAATGAAACCCAAGATTTGAAATTGTGCAAATGTGCACACATTTATGTTTCCCAACCATTCCTGAAATAAAGCTAAAGATACAAGAATGGCTGAAATACCAATACCCCAAGAAACATGGCAAGATTTCAACTTTTTTACTTCTACATTTCAATCTGAACAGTTAATCAAACACCCAATTTGTCTTAAACCACAAAAATGCAAAATCAAATAAGAAATTGAGAATTAGGGTTCTTAAAAAGACCCTTCTTTTAGAAACCCAAGATTTGAAATTGGGAATTAGGGTTCTTAAACAGGCCCTTCTTTTAGAAACCCAAGATTTGAAATTGAGAATTAGGGTTCTTAAAAAGACCCTTTTTTTAGAGACCCAAGATTTGAAATTGGAAATTCTTTCAAAGAAGTATAGATGAGAATATTGAATCCCTCTTTTTGACAAACCCTAAATTGAAACAGAGCAAACCTTAAACCCTAAATTGAAACAGAGCAAACCTTAAACCCTGAATTGAAAGAAATCAAAGAAACCCTAAACCCTGAATTAAAAAATCAAAGAAACCCTAAACCCTGAATTAAAAGAAATCAAAGAAACCCTAAACCCTGAATTGAAAGAAATCAAAGAAACCCTAAACCCTGAATTNAAAATCAAAGAAACCCTAAACCCTGAATTAAAAGAAATCAAAGAAACCCTAAACCCTGAATTGAAAGAAATCAAAGAAACCCTAAACCCTGAATTGAAAGAGAGCATACTATGATGAACTTTTCAGCAATTTAAAAATAAAATAAAAACCTTGTCTTTGTCAAGCTGATCCTTAAGAGGAAGAAGAGGGCCAGGAACAAATTTAGAGAAACCCTCATGATGATGGTCATGGTCATGGTCATGGTCATCATGGTCATGATCAAAAACCCTGATCTTGAAAGGGTTTTCTCCTGTTTGTTTGTTGTTCAATGGGTCTCCATGAGGAAGTGAAGATGATGTCCCTGCCTCTGCTCCATTCAGACCTTCTTTTTCCATCTCTGTGTGGTTTTTTTGCAGACAGAATTAGAACAAAGACTTGTTTCCTTTTTTGGTTAATGAAATAGACAGAGGTAGCAAATCTTTGTTCCAATGTCTTTGTCTATTAACTTTCTCTCACCATTTACATCATGTTGAATTTGGTGATTAAATATGAAAGCAAAGAAAGAGAATATTTTTTTTATTTTATTAATATACCCTTTAAAATATATATTTTTCGAATAAAAAGATTAGGTAGTTTTATCATTTTAAATATTTTAATTTTTTTCTTTTGCTTTTCTTTCCTTTTTACTGACATTTGGAAGGAAAATTTTAAAAGAAAAGTTATAATTATTTTCCCTTTTTTTTCTGATTAACCTGAATATCTAATCTGTTATGTGAGCCGACTAATTTCAGAATGATCACTTGTTTTACGAATAGCTCAGAATCACCATAGTTGAACTAATTGAAATTATTAATAACCAATTAAATTGGTAAATGGTATACAAACTTCAATGATGGTTAATATTGATGGGTAATTCTATATTCCAATTCTTGGTTTTTATTATAAGATTCTTGTATTTTATGGTCATTAGGAGCCCTTTACCAAATGTTTATCTAGGTAAGTGTTTATCGACAAAATTCAATACTATAACTTATTTATCGGGTAAGATTTTAGTCCACCAAAACAGTATCGTATGTGGTAAGAGTCTGTCGTCCTCATTTACCGGGTAAGATTCTTAGTTCTTATCTACTCTCTTACCGGGGTAATATTCTTAGTCCTTGTTATATTCATCGGTAAGAGGAGGTCATATTTGTTAGGAGTTGAGCTGGCTCTCATGTATCCATTCACTTGGTTATTGTAAGAAAAAAAAAGTTAGTCAATGGTCCACTGGGAGCAAGAATTTCCAGACCCACCCGTCAAGCAGGGATGAAAGTCGGCCTTAGTGATTAGATGGTGCCGAGTGGAATGGTCGTCGATCAACAGATAAAAGTTACTTTAGGGATAACAGACTGATTTTCCCCAATAGCTCACATCAACGAGAAGGTTTGTTTGATAGACACACCTACTTTATTTCAAGGGTATCCTTAAATACTTTGAAACAAAATTTGTAACATAAATTAAACATTGGTGGGATGGTTGTATTACCATTTTTAATATAAAAGGTCATGAGTTTGAATCTGGACAAATTGCATGAAAAATAATGTACCTTAACTTTGATTTTATTTTGGGTAACGTACTTTCAAAACTTTCATTTTGGTACCTAAGATGTAAAGTTTTAAACATTTAAGTACACGGGTAACCAGTTGAAGCATAACCGGTTACCATGTTGATGTGACGAGTGATATGGTATCCAACTCAGTATTACTTGCTGAAGCATTAACCGGATACCGCATCACTCGTCACACCAGTATGGTAACCGGTTAATGCTTCAACTGGTTCGCGAATACTTAAATATTTAAAACTTTACATTCTAAATACCAAAATAAAAATTGTAAAAATACATTACCCAAAATTGGAATCTACCCAAAATTATAATAACTTGTTGGAGGGTGGGGGAGAACATCTGGATATACCAATAGAATCTGAGTTTTGCGCAATTATCGCCTTCAATCTACATTTTTCGATATATTGCAAATTTAAACTTCTTTTTTAAATTAATAAATATTTTATATTTTCCAGGTTTTTTGCTTTCTATTAATAATAAAATAAAAATATTATTATATATTTGTAATTATTTGTACTATATTATACAATATTTAATTAAAAATTCTTAAAAATCATTTTTTATATATGAAGTACTATTAATTAATATATATTATATAAATTTCAATATTACAAGTAAATTATATATAAATACAATTTATTAAAGCTTCATGTTTGAATTCGTGTAACTAACTGAATATAAACATAATTAAATACATAATAAACATATTATTTTAAATATAAAAAATGTAAAATATAATTAAGATAATTATTGAGTTATAACATAATACTAAATTAATATTATTATAAAAAATTATATTATTAAACCAAAAATAAATTACTTCATAATTAAATTATAATAAAATTTTAAATTATAAAAAATTATAAAAAAAGAGATTTTTTAAATAGTTAATTTTATACTAATAATGTTTATAATATATTCAAATCTAAATTTTATTCAAAAATAAAAACATTAGTACTTTCTCAAAACCACATAAAACCATATTATGACGACATAGACAAAATATAAAACGAAACACTTAAGATATATTTCATTGCATCGCACGAGTATCCTTCTAATACACTTAAAAAAAACTTACCAGTTACATGTTTACATTCCAGTAGAGATTCAACCGATTCCAAAAGATTTTTCAAACGAAAACATTAAATAATTAGTGTAATGTTAAATAAAAATTTATAAAATATAAGGTTTAATTAAATATAACGTATAAATGGTTTTTTTTTCCTTTTTTGGTTTTATAATATTTATATACGACAAATAGAACAAATAAATTTACATATCCTCTTCACCTTTGGTGAGGTTTGAACTCTTGACTTCATAGGAGGTCAAAGACTCACACACCGCTAAGCCATAGACCCTTTGGTAAGAATTCCAACTTCCAAACTCTTATTCCACATATAATAACACTAGTTGTAAGTTCGGAGTCCACTTTTGTCGAACATTTTAGATCCCCTAGACTTTTTCTAGAACATGATAGAGCGGGTGCACAAGATAAGAACCACTTATCCCATTTTGGAGTGTCTCATTGTTGTCCTGTGGCTATATATTTGGGGAAATGGCATAAATAGTTATTTCAGCTGATCAAATTTATCGTTTAATCATTTTTCATACACTTTTTCAAAAAAGTCACCATATCCGTAAGTAACCATTCCTCAACTTGTGAAGGGGTATTGATAAGTTAAGAAAATGTATGCCCACTTACGGACCTCTCATGTAACTCTTATAGAACGACCTCTGATGGACCTACTTGCGGGGCTTTCATTCAAACTTCACTTGCGAAACCACCTCAAGTGTAACAAATCGTTCCACATGGATAGAAGGTGAGAATTGTTAGCTCCTTATAAGTCTCAAGTAGTGGGCTATTAATAACTTTCACTATGATTTTAAGTTGAATTTGAAGTTATTGGGCTAGTCCCTTGCTTTGGGGGAGTTACAAATGGTATCAGAGTCGATCCTAGTACCATCGGGATGGTGGGGCAAATCTTATCGGATATGATGAGTATCTGAAAGAGGGTGTTTGTAACATCTTAGGCGAATCCCACATTGTCGATGACAAAGAGTATTTGAGAGAGGGTGTTAAATTTGGAGGATCGTGAAAATTTGGGACAATTGATTTTTATTCACGTAAAATATCAGCTTTTAAGTCTACCTTGATTTCACTATTTTCATATAAATAAGATTTACAAAAATAAAAAAAAATGTTAAATAATCAAAAAGACCGAACCGCTCTCAGACCCTATCAACTCTATACCTCGTACCGATATCCACAAAACGTTTCGGCTACTGGCTCGAGCCACAGGATGTTAGAACCTTTGGAACCCAGCCACATTTTGCAACAAGCCGTCTTGTCTTTCGGCTAGTGGCTCGAGCCATTGGGCTCCCGCAAGTCACATTGTCTATCTGAAAGGCTCGATAGGTTCTGTTTCTTTTAGTACGGTAGCAGCCTCAAAACAGTCAGCAGCTTCCCTTAGAAACATCGGGCCCTCGTCTTTTAGAATCAAGCCGAGATTATACCAAGCCGATGAGCTCATCCTGTTGACACGTAATGCTTCGTTCAAGAAGCTTCGAGCCACAGCTCCAGACTGTCCACCAAGCTTCCTGAAGACAACGGCTATAGAAACGAGACTCTGCACATGACCAGGGTCCACGTCTAACGCGTGTTTATTAGCTTTTAGAGCTTGTTTATGGAGACCCTTTGCTTCGCAAAGCAAACCTGCAATGGAGTTCAATTGACAAAACTATCCCCAAGGGAGGAGTGCTAAACAGAATTTCATAAAACTGAAATGCTATATTTAGTATTATGTAAAGGGTAATTTTGGAATTAGATAAAAACAATGATGGGTTGGTAACTCTTCATATTCGCTACCATTCTATGATGGTTTGGTAAATTGAACTAGGGGCAGGTTCTGTTGGGAACCGCCCACAGCACGCCACATGACATATTCATCAAGAGTATGGATGTGTTATTCATCATGAATGTTGTAACATATTCATAATGAATATGTGATTCGTGATGAATAACACGTCCATAAATAACACTTCCATATTCATTATTAATGTGTTGTTCATAATGAATATTCATCCTAAAGACGGACACATGGCGTGTTGTGGGCAGTTCCCGGGTTCCTAATCAATTTTGATTCCTAACAGAACTTCCTTCAATTGAACTCTAAGAATCTCTTTTCTGGCTAATAAGCAAAACCAAACGAGCCAATGAATACCATGGGGCAAGATGTATGCATACATGAACTTTTTTCGGGTTAATCTTTAGATAATTACTTCTTACCATTTACAAGGTCGTTTTTTGTTTGAAATATAAGAACATCCATGTAAAACGAGAAATCCAGTTTTTAGATAGCAAAAAATAGGGAATGGTAAAAGATGTAGCAGGAGTAGCAAGAACGTACCATTGGTATGTCGTGTAGAAGCCGAGTAGTTACTGATAGCCTTGGATTTTAACAGACAGGCCTCAGCATCGTGCCACTGAGATAAGCTTATATATATCGTTGCAAGATCATTCCACGTTTCTATTTCTAAACTTCGATGATGTATCTCACCAACCTAGCGTACCAAATGTTAGAAAACCGCATGATTTTTAGAATATCTGAACTTCAGCTATCTTGCTTCTATGAAGAAATCATCATTCAGATGGAATTGTATTCAAGTTTAAAGTATGTAACCAAATATACATGAATATTTGGTTCTCACGATTTTCAAAATATTTATGATTCTCAAACCTGCCCCTACAATTTTATTCATCTTGTTGTTTCTTATGGGTACATTTGGTACATTGGATAGGACAGAACATAACAGGGATCGATATTTCATATTTGACAGGACCTTCATGGAACAAGGTGGAATAAAATGGAAAAGACCTATATTTTACCAATATAACCTCAAAATAAACCATAATTCTTTACATTCTAATTATTCATTTTTTAAGTTTTATTTATTGTATTTTATGCTCTTTAAACTTACTTTACTATCCTTAAAATATTATTTTTTATATAGTTTCTATATTTTGGTTAATTTATGTAATTCATTAGATATCAATAATAATAAAATATGTATAAATTAAAAATTGGAAACTACATAAACTTTTTTTGGTGTCATTTGAATTGTCTTGACGCAAACTTTCTAATAATATATTTTGTTATAAAAATATTTATTTTAATTATAATCTAATAAATTACATAATTTAGTCAACATATAAAATATATAAACAACTCATTGGGGGTAAATTGGTCATTTTATTTGTTTTGTCTTGTACAATTTCGTCTTACCAAAGCTGAACAACTATTCTATTCTGTCATGTCTTGCCTACCAAACGCACCCTTTTAGAGCAATTGACTTTTCGAACCATCGTATTTGGCTTTTTATTGCAAACAAGCAATTAAAAAACGACGGATTTTTTGTTGTTCGATGATCGAAAACGTATAACAATCGAATAGTTCAAAGTACCTCGAGATTCTTCTTCTGAAATCCAAAACTTTTATGCTGAACATGAAGAACTGCGAGAAGCTGAGTGTATGTCTGAATGGCATGCTTCACTTGTTTCTGTGCAAGTTGAAGCTTAGCTTTAGTTCTCAGCAGTTCACCCTGATCCCATTTCCCAGACTGATCCAAAGCAGCATTAATAATAATCTCACCATCTCTGAACTGTTTCTGGGCAGACAAGATTCTAGCCAATAGCATCCACCCGTTGAGGTGGGACCCACCTTCCAAAACAAGCAAACGCTTCGCATAACCAAGAGCAACATCCAACTTCCTCTGCTCTGCGTTTTCTAAACTCAGATGGTAAAGAATTCTAGAGTCATTCATTCTCGTTAACCTCCCCGCTGTTTCTAATGACTCGAGTGCCTCAGATTGTTGCGTAACTCGTTCAGAATCAGTCACGGCTGATCTAGAATTGGCAGAAAGCGAAACACCTAAAGAAGAATATGCAACACCAACCATTTCATCACATCTATCTTTAAATGCATGAATAGCTCTTTTTGCAGTACTTATTCCTTCTTTAGAATTCGAGTTTTCCTCATAAATCTTTGAAGCCAGTAATAAAGCGAACCCAATATTCGGGTTGTTGTTTTCATATATATTTCTAAGCAAATTCAAAGCGGATAAATTGTCTCCTTCTCCATAATAACATAAAGCTAAAAGCAAGCACCTTTCATTGTTGTCAATAATCCCCGGAAGCAATTCCTCCAGTTGTTTACCCAACGACCTGAGTCCACCAGAAATGGATAACGCAAAAGAAAGATGATCTAAAATAGACGGGTCCCACTTGATTTTCTTTAAAGAAACTTTTCTTAGCAGAATCATTAGAAGTAGAATAGCTTCTTCTATGTTATTTCTGGGTATGAACGAACCTTCCATTTGCATCCGGAGATTAGGAGGATTACCTTCTTCTCCTCCACTGTAGAGAAGAAAAATGGCAAACTCCTTTTGGATATCTGCCATTGTTTCTTTGTCCATATTCCATCGATGGAGTAGGATTCTCCGGAACGCCAAGATTGCTTCCTGGTGCAAATCGGCAAGTTGCCATAATTCTGGAAGCAACTTGATTGTGTTACTTAGAGTCTCGTGCAATTTATGATCGGCACCAAGGTGTTCAGGAAAGCCTACTGGAAAAGATGATTCGATAATGTCTAGAATAACTTTGCACGAGTCAGCAGCTTCTGCAAAAAAAAAGTTAAAAAGAAAGAAGTTTAAAAAGGGCTTCAAACCAAACGAACCCAATATATTGCACCCTGAGGTTGGGAGAGGGGGTAAGATGTACGCTAACCAGACCTCTACCCTAACCAGTAGGCCCCATCTAGTAAAAAGTGTGAAAGGGAGAAAAACACGTGTTAAAATTTGAAAAGATAGATAAGAGTAAACATTAGCAATAAAACTAGAAAGAGAGAAGGACATATATGCTAAATCCTGAGAAACTAGATATGAGTAAGCAGGGCCGGTTCAAATAAGAAGGCTAAATATTGTGAGAAGGGAAGATTCATATGTGAATTACTGAAAAAATCTGAAAAGATATATATTTGAAGATGCATATGTGAACCAACGTTAAAGATTATTCATATGGGTTCACTGATATGCATCTTCAAACGGATTTTTTTTATAATTCACATATGAACCTTTCTATAACCTTCTTTTCTTACCTTCTCACGATATTTAGCTTTCTTATTTGAACCTCCACCGAGTAAGCAAAAATAATATATATAGAAGCAGGTACAGCCGTACAGGTAAACCAACATCGCTTATCAGTCAAAGGATATAAACACCTAGAACAATGATCAGTTGATATCCTAACACGGATATATGTATCAAGATATATATAATAAAGGATACATGTGTGTGATATATATATATAGAGAGAGAGAGGGGGGGGGGAGGTTCAGGGGAAAATCCTCCAAATAATGAAAAACTGAGGAATACTCTGGTAACCATTCATCTGGACGGTACGCACATATGCATACAAGTTGTTTCTTGTTTTTTTACGCACGTGGGCATACTAGACAAATTACTTACAACTTACTTGTATGCACATGTGCATACCCTCGAGATGAACGGTGTTCCTCACTTTTTCATTCTTTTGCGGTTTCTCCTTGAACCTAACCCCATATATATGTGGATGCTAGGATATGATGATTCTAAAAGTTGACGATTCAGAAGTATATATACAAGTCTAAAACCAAACGAATCAAAGAAAGAGATTATATAACAATGGATACTTATAAATGGAATACCTTTATACCTCCCAAAGTTCTGCAATGATTTTGCTTTCAAATAAGCTGCTTCAAGGAGTAAACTGACGGTGTTTATAGAGAATGGTGGAGCAGCATAATTATACGAACGTCTTATATGAGGTTTCCCTATTTCACTAAGGCTAATTTTCATCTTTGGAGTAGCAGCAGCTATATCTATCCCTTCAAACACACGAAGAGCGGCTTCTATGTTCCCCTTTTGATATTCATATCTTCCTAGCAATACTCTTGCTTCCTGCATAATGACAAGATTTACGGTTCAAAAACCATAGAAGAAAACCATAATATGGTCTTAAACAAATCAAAGATCTAAGAGCATCTCCAACATATACTCTGTAATTTTTCTGAAATAGAGTATCAAAAGTCAAAATCTCTATAGAATTACAACCATCTGCAACAACTGCTCTATTTTAGAGATTCCAACATTAATTATATTATTAAAATACTCAATACATTAAATAATTTTTTTTATTTCCTAAACATTTAGTTTCAATGTCTCCTACCGGTTGGAAAGAATTAAATATTATTTCTCTCTCATAAATAATGAGTTTTAGAGATTTCTCCAAATTTAGAGAGATTTCTACTCTCTCTATCTTTTTTTCTCTATTTTAACACACATTATAGTATAGTTGTTGGAGCAAAAATAGCTCTTAAACAGAACTTCTATTTTAGCATAGTTGTTGGAGATACTCTTAGTTGAGCTTCAAATAGGCTTCATTCATTTATAGCATATTCCTTCGTTTCACCGGTCTCCTTCCATCTTCATCTCCTCCAACATCAAGTTAATGGGATCCACAATATAAATTTTTGTTTCTTCTTGCATCATATAAATGGAATTGAGAAAATGAACATGTTAAATTGGAATGCAACCTATTGCTTACAAGCAGTTGTAGCTTAACATAAGTGTTAGGCTAGCTTATCAGCTAACAACTAGCTTATCAGACAGTTTGCTAAGCATATCTTTAATTTGACACAAAAAGGATTAGAGAATCCACCTCATTATTCAAAGAATCACTATCGCGAAGAGATGATTCTGCTTCTTCAATAGTACTAGCATCTGGCTTTGTATCATCCTCACCGGAGACTTGAGAAGAATAGGCATTTGCTGAATAATATTGTGTAACTTGTGAATCTGATGAAGGGATCATCTCGATCTCACTTTTTAGTTGAAATTGCATCGATTTTTCCAACCACAAGCTTCTGAAAATATCTTGCTGCTCTTCTCTTAAAATAGATTCCTATTCCTCATGCTGTGAACTAACCCTTAAGAATCTTCAACCCACAAAAAGGAACTAATCAGATAACTGGTGTTATGATATCATGAACATAAGCTCAAACAGACAAATATTTAAGGATTTCTAAAATCAAATTCTGTGTTTCAAGGTATGATTTAACAACAATTAACACAATTCAGCACCCAAATTTGAAATTGGGTGAAAATTATGCAAATTTAGAATCCTTAAATCACAATCGACTTCCAATTTGAATAAATTCATTATGAAATTCATATGTCCAGATGGAAATTTTCAAATTCACATCACTAAAACGTAAAATCCATCGTTATACCTTCAACATAATCACAACATCTTCCCAATTGAAACCTAAAAACCCTAAACAGAACGATCAGGATACAGAAACGAAGCTCCAAATCATACAATTCATAACATTGACGAAGAATTACCACACACATACATCGATCACTGCAAAATAGAAGATATTATCTACAAACTAAATTAAATTTACCTTTCTTCATGACGATTGAATTTGACGTAAAATAACATATCGTGATCAAAATCCAACTTGTGTCTCGATCAAAGCTTCATTCAAATGTCTTTGATCAACAAGGAATCAAATGCATTATCGTGTTTCAGCATTTTATTTTCTCGCAAAACTACATGAATATTTTACCATGGAATTAGTTGAAGCTTTTTATGTAACAATAACTCAACCCATTTGGGAAATTTTATGTGGGTGGTTGTTTAAAGATGAGAACATGGGATTTGGGAAAATCTTGAAGCGGTTCTTTCGAATAAATACAGTTCATGAAATAAAAGACTTTTAAATTTTAATCCAAATTCCAACAAAATTGAGAATTTAAAAATATATTTACTTAAAATATTTAAATTATATCAAAATCATAAATATTTTGTAGTTGTAGCACTGAAAATATATATACCAATTTTATGTCACTAACGTGCAGCTCAGTTAACAAATGAATGATTTATCCAAATACATAACAAAATAACAGGTCATGAGTTCGATCCCATACCTCCGGTTAGCCTCGGTCGTTGAGTAAGCCAAAAAATGTCCTCTCACACTGGTATTCTTAAAGGTGGATTCTGTGTAGGGCTTGTTATGATTATCGGTAATCAATTTTTTATGGTAATTTGTTATAATTAAATTATTATTTTTCTTAAAACATAGAGTAAACTACAAATTTGGTCATTATGGTTTGTGGAGAATAACATTGTTTGTCTATATAGTTTCGAAATTATAAGATAACCATTATGGTTTGCAAAAAGTTCATATATGGTCCCTCTCTTTAAAAGTTGTTAAAAAATTCATGTAAGCAAGGGGCAATTTCATTCTCTTATCGATTTTGTTTTTTATGGTTGGGTACAAGACAAAAAGATATCGATAGAAGAACGAATATACCTCATTTAACGAAATTTTTTAATAACCTATAGGGAGGGACCAAATTTGAACATTTCTACAAACCACAAGGGCCAAATTTACAGTTTACTCTAAAATATATTTAAGAAAAATGACGAAGATTTCATATATGACAAATGCAAGAAATAAATTCACATACCATTCTTACCTTTTGTGAGGTTTAAACATTTGATCTCTTAAAAAGCCAAAGACTACGATATTACTAAGTCAAAGACCTTTTGGTCAATTTCGAATTATTATTTTGTAATAAATTTACAAAAATTATTATTTAATATTGCTTACTATAACTTGATTAAAAATATATATATATATTTTAGCAGGTATGATGGTTAATTTAAATGATTGGCATATTCTTTCATATTATTAAGGGGTCGTTTATCAAACACTTACGCGGTAAGTGTTTATCTATAAAATTTAACACTATAAATTAATTATCGGGTAAGATTTTAGTCCATCAAAATGATATCGTATGCAACAATTTACCCGGTAAGCTCTCACTTACCAGGTAAGACTCTTGGTCTTTGTCTTGCTTTTGCCGGGTAAGATTTTTGGTTCTTATCATATTCATTCGGTAAGATAATGTGACTTGGTATTCACTTATCCGAATAAGCGTTTGGTAAAAGGTCCCTAAGTAATATATAAAAAATAGAGTCGTCTATTATATATATGCAGAAGGTCGGTGGATATGGAAAAATAGGACAAGTTATCGTAAATGACTTTTTATTAGTGGTGAACATGAAACATGCATGTTTTGAATCACACGATTTTCACATATATGTTTCAAATCATGCGATTTTCACATACCATAACGTCTTTTTGTTAGTTCTTAACTCATACATACGTTACTTAGAGGGTGGACATCAAACATCTTATATAAAATTTAGCAACTTTCTTGTTATATCTTATATGAAATTTAATATTATTCTTATATATATATATATATATATATATATGGTATATTTTAAATGCAACCATGTTCATTTGTATAAACAATGCAATCCAATCAATTGAGCTATTTATGGAAATGATTAGAGTTCATTTATTATGATTTGAATATTTATGAAAGATAACTAGAGTTCATTAATTATGATCAATATTTTATATTATGAAACAATCAAAATTTTTATGAAATCACATATTAATCAAATTAAATGGACAACTGAGATTGAGTTGTATTGGTTGTACAAATGTGAAGAGTTGCATAATAACCCACATCTCTCTCTCTCTCTCTCTCTCTCTCTATATATATATATATATATATATATAAATTCAGCTTTAAGGAAAAAAACGTAAAAAAAATGAACAAACTGATGAACGCGTTAATAATTGTTTATCTATATGGTATGCACATGTGCATACAAATAATTTATAAGTATTTTTTCAATATACACACGTACATAAAAACCGGAAAACATCTTCAATTATTTGTATGCATATTATACAAATAAACGGTTACTCGGGTATTTCTCAATTTTTCATTGTTTTAATATTTTTCTTCTCTGTAATAATGTATTTTACTTTTGGAAAGATATATCTTTGGAGAGATACACTCACTTATGATGTTTGGCTTTTAGAAGGATATTTGGGTGGTTTGGTCCTCCTAGAGAAACACAAAACACGCTCCATACATGAGGTTTTATGATCATCATCATCATGTTACTTACTACTTCACTTGTTCTTTTTCTCAAAAGTTGTGATTTTAGCAACAACAACAAATTCATAATTATGATATATTTAAATTCGACAAAACTCGTGCTTATAGAAGATTGGTGTGATTCATATTAAGGGTACGTTTGATATACTGAACAGATACAATAGAACAAACTATAATAGATATGCAGTTTTTACGTTTGACATGACTTTTATATGATACATAAACATAATGAAACATGTGTTATGGAATAAGGTGAAACATGTTTATTTATCAATATACCTCAAAATAGATTAAATGTTACGAGATTTATATAATGTTTTGGTTTGTATTTATCAATAGATTATTGCTTAATCATATGCTAAAAATTCTATAATGACACACACACACATATATATATTATGTTATTTTAATCCACAAAAAACATTTATATCTATACTATCTTATTAAGCAAATTTAACAAAAGTCTTAATATACTAAATGACCAAGATACCTTTTATACTACCCCTCACCTTTTCACTTTTTCACCCCCCTTCTCTCTCACATACACTCACCCCTTCACATAGACTCACCATCTCACAACGGATTTTTTTAAAATTATAATTTTAAATTTACACTTTATACCCCTATAATTAATTAATTAATTTGTTTTACGTCATTTACTTTTAAATGTTTTATTTTAAACCTTTATCAAATTAACATACATAATCGTATATAAATTAAAACATGTTTAAAAAATACATTTTTATTTTAACAAGTTACATCATTATAATCGTCTCGTTAATACCTTCGAAATGAGTCCAATATTGAATAATTTTTGACTTAATTATATTATTATATATTATATATAATGTGAAAAAATATTTTTARTATTTATGATTTATACTTTTATAGTTATTTATTTATATATATACTATATATTTTGGGATTAGGCTGTCCAAATTGCATTGTATAATATATTTTGAATTAATATGTTCTTGGGTTTTTTTTGAAAAATATATATATATATATATATATATATATATATATATACATGTATTAATTCAACCTTAATATGAGTTTTTGGACAAGAAATAGGGTAAGCAGTTGAAATTTCATTCTAAAATCCATCTTTTTTAGTCTTTTCATGGCTTATGATCTGTCAAATTTGTAGTTTTCTTTATTGGTTTTGATTGTTTATCTTAAAACTCAAGTTTCTTGGTTCTTTGCGCTTGATGTAAATCGAACACATTTGTGGACTCGTTTAAATATGTTGAATTTTAAATATATTGGATTTTAAATTGTCATACAATTTTTTTCATCAATAGTCTGTAATTGGAACCATAACTCTTATTTATTCAAATTGTATTAATATGTAAAGACCAAGTGTAACATATATCATCGTTAAATCTTATTTTATAAAATCAGTGGAACTTCAAAATTGTTAAAATTTATGGATCCCGCCGCATTGCGCGGGCACACAACTAATATATATATTATGTTATTTTAATCCACAAAAACATTTATCGGATTTTGCTTTCAGGGTGCAGAACAGTTGGTTCCAAAATGATATGCTTAAATAACTAAATAAGAGTTCGAGTCTAACAACCACAATATATGGGTTCTCGTTCCTTTTGAGAATCGAGCGCTTTATGGGGAGGGGCAGACTTAGGGGCTGTTTGGCAGTTGCTGAATGATTTAGTTTAGAATAACTAAGAGGTTAGAATGGCTAAGAGGGTCAGAATGGTTAAGTGCTGAATGAAACAAAGTTGTTTGGTAATTGTTTTCTGAATGACAGCAAAATTACCATTTTAACCCTCAAGAAATACAATCAATTCTAAACATTTTTTTAGAAAAAAAAAGATGATGTTCTTC